CAGTTGTTAAAGGGACATTCTAGGCACCAAAACAACTTTAGCTTAGTGAAGCAGATTTGGTGAGTAGTTCATGCTCCATGCTTACTGCTCAATTCTCTGTATTTAGAATTTAAATCATTTTGTTTATACAGAACTAGTCACACCTCCCTTTCTCTGAAAAGGCAATGTTTACATTAAAAAGCCTGCAGGAAATGATCATGCACACCAGAACAACTATGTTAAGCTGTAGTTGTTCTGGTGACAATAGTGTCTCTTTAAGCTAAAGTTGTTTTGATACCTGTAGGGTAGTACTTCTCACCCTTCTCATCAAGGCATACCTAACAGTCCAGAATTTAGGGATTACCTGGGTGTGTCAAAGTCTTTTTTATTTTATTTTTTTTTTTTTTTTTAAACCTTGCCAGGCATAGGCAACCTTTGGCACTCCAGATGTTTTGGACTACACCTACCATGATGCTTTGGAAGCATTATGAGGGATGTAATCCACAACATCTGGAGTGCTGAAGGTTGCCTACCCCTGCACCTAGATGTTAAGGTTTTTCTTTTTCTAAACACTTGAGTAATCCCTAAATCCTGGACTGTTTGGTGTGCTTTGAGGAGCACTGCTGTAGGGGATGGACCAACCCCTCAGAGAGATCAGAAGTGGATTGAGGGCAGAAGCAGTCAGGGGCCCTGCTGAACAGCCATGCTCTAGCTGGGGAGATCAGAAAACATCATTCCTCGCATATTACTTGGATAATTTGTCCCTGTAACCTATGGCAGTGTAAGAGACTCCCCCCTTGTTGTCATTCGTCTACTGGTGAACTAACATGTCTTCCTGTCTGGTCCTCGGTTTAGCTCAGTCCTGTAATTCCTATCATACGCTCGGTAACACGCCTCTAATCTAGGACCCGGCCAATGTTGATGAAACGAGCGCTGCCCTAAAGCGAATTGTAATGTTGATTCCGTCTCATTAGTGTTCTAGGGTAAAAGTCTTGGCTTCAAACACGTAACTACATAACCAAATGATAAAACCTTTTAATCCAATTACACAATTCTTTCCACGTTGACCTTAATATTCACGAAACAATCCATGCATTCCAAGATCACCGTGTGAATGATTAATTGTGGATTTATTGTCCATTTTTAAAGCACTGAAAATATCACACAGAGACCCGGCTGGGGGGATCAGAAAACATATTTCCTCACAAATTACATGGATAAGATGTCTCTGCAACCTATGGCAGTGTAAAGGGCTCCCCCCTTCTCAGTGAAACCTGGCAGTGATCCTTCACCTTCTACTAGACCTCCTCCATCTACTCCCATGAGGTGCTCTGTGTGAAGGAAGAGGTGGAGTCCAGGGGATAGGAAGTGACATCACTTCCTGCTCTCTACTCTACACCTTTACTGCTGAGTGTTCCTGGAATGTGAGCCCTGGCTGAAACAGTACAGGTATGCTCCATGTAGATATCTTCTACAGCCCCAATACCTGCCTGTACTCACCTCACCCACTTCCTCAATGAAGCCAGTATGTCCTACCTGCACCCACCACAACAGCTTCCTTCCACCAACCTCAACCCCCATCTCTCCCTGTACCCACCTCACCCACTACAGCTGCTAATTCTAATGGGACCAGACCAGTCCACATGACTTTCTGCACCCACCACAGGCACAATCCCTGCCTATAGCCACCTCAGCCACTACAGCATCCCTCTATGAAGCCACTGTGCTCTACATACACCCACCACTGCCCCTCTCTCTCTCTGCACCCACTTAAACCTCTATCCCTGTCTGCACCCACTAAAGACTATATCCCCATCTTTACCCACCTCAACCCCCATCCCTCCCTGAACCCACCTCAGCCACTAAGCCCTCCCTGCACCCACTACAGCCCCTATACCCTCCTGCACACCTCACATCCACTAAGCCCCCCTGCACCCACCCCAGCCTCTATACCTTCCTGTACGTTCCATAGACCATAAGCCCCCTTTGCCACCACTGCCCCTCTACATTCCTGCACTTACCACAGCTTCCACTGCTCTCTTCAGCCACTGTGCCAAGCTGCCGGGCTTCTACTAGCTCTAGATGCCGAAAAAACCTTTGATAGGCTGAACTGTGATTATACAAGAGAAGTACTAAATTCACAGTTCAGTGAGTCAGTAAGGCAACATGTATTGCGCTTATTGCAATTAAAGCGCCAATAACGATATTAATCTTAGCTTGAATAGTCGCAAACAGAAGCCTGAGAAAAAAGGTTTTTTTTTAAACACAGCGATCTAGCAAACTGCCCTGTAAATAAAATTAAATGAGAATTGTCAGGAATTAAATTTGAATTTCACTTTGAAGTCCAAAGTAGCCCAAATGGAAGCATAGCGATCCTGGAGAATTTTTCAAGTTTGGCTCTTTTGGCATTAAAGGGACACAATAGTCAGCAAAACAACTTTAGTTTAATGAAGCAGTTTTTGTGTATAGCTCATGCCCCTGAAGTTTCACTGCTCAATTAACTGTTATTTAAGAGTTTAAGAGACACTTCAGGCAACAAAACAATTTAATCTAAATGAAGTTGTTATGGTGCCCTGATGCACTCGTACCTCAAGGGGTTAAACGGTTAAACCGTTCTCTGTGCAGTGGAGGGTACTACTAAGGTCTGAGTGTGCAGACATTAGGGATAGTTTGGGGATAACTTGAATTGTTTAACCCCTTAAGTACACATGATGTGTGACATGTCAATTCCCTTTTATTCCAGAAGTTTGGTCCTTAAGGGGTTAAGCCCAAAGCTGCCTCAAGCGGTGATGTCCATACCCCCCTGGCAGCATCCGGCTTCTGAAATTTCCAAGCAGGCATGGAAGCCGATGATTGACTGAGAGCAGTTGGCTGAAAAACTGACTTGGAAAAGGTAGTCTCCTTCTTTGTAAAATATCCTGCTCTGTAAATTGAACTTTAATTACATACAGGAGGCTCCTGAACGATCTAGCAAGCTATTAACAGAGCAGGAGATAAGGAATTATAAATTAATCAGAATTTGAATTAAAGTGTAAACATTAGACGACTCTTTACAGGAAGTGTTTAGGAAGGCTGTGTAAGTCACATGCATGGAGCTGTGACTAGGGCTGCATAAACAAAGTGATTTAACTCCTAAATAGCCGAATTTAGCGGTGAGACTGCAGGGGGCATGATCTATACACCAAAACCGTTACATTTTTTGGGATGAAATTAATTTAGAATTCCTGAGAATACTCACTTAAGTGAATAACCTGTAATGTTAAAAGGAAGTAGGAAAGTGCCTGTACTGACTGTCTAAAGTAGCTGGGATATCTTTTCTGTAACATCCATCGGAGTAAAGGAATCTCCAGGTGGTGGGAATTGGGAGGGGAGGGGGTGTTTTACATACAACAATTAACTAGGCAGATAAATACCTCCAACAGTGAAAAGAGAGATTTACATATTAAACATAAAGAAAAGATAAGCAGGTTTATTCACTTTAAGAGAGAATTGTTGGGGATTGATGGTGAATTTCAAATTCAAGGCCAAAGTAGCCGATATGAAGGCATTAGAGATCTGATGACCCTAACAAGAACTTACCTGTTGAATATTTTAAGCTGAAATCAAAGTATCAGTCTATGACTGCTCCAAGCAATTTGACATAAATATGGTAAATGGCACTCACAGACTTATAGCACTACAACCACCGCAATGAGCTGTAATATTATGGTTCTTAGAACACCCCTTAAGATAACTAATAAAATATCAAGCTTTGTAAACCTGTCTCTCAAAATGTTGTTACTATAAAATCTACCTGCCTGATATTAAATATATTTAAAACTAAATAAAATATTATGAATACCCAGGTCCTGGTTAAAAATATCTTCCTAATCTTGTTAGGTCCTGTCCAATTCATATTTTCAGCGGGGCTGATTAATTCGAACCCGAGTGTAGTCACGACACAAGAGAACAGGACATGAATTGGCTGAATGACTTTGTTTCCATAACAACAAAAAGAGTGTTTTTCTAAAGTTTCTAGTTTGTTTTATGCCTAAAACTAGTGAGCAAACAAACTTAAAGACCTGCTTTATTTATTTTGATATAAGTTTAGAAACATCTGCCTGTCTATCAGTCTGTCTCTTTGATGCTTTGTCAATATGTCTCTCTGTTTGACTCTCTCTCTGTCCATATGTCTCTCTCTCTCTCTCTGTCCATCCCTCCCTCCGTCCTTCCATCCATCCAACAATCCATTTTATCCCTCCCTCTCCCTCCATCCTCTGACTGTGTACAATGGTAGAAGTGGGGAAATGTACACAAGCATGACCCATGCTATTATAGTGGGGGTACCTAGGGTCATCATTGTAAAAATGGTTGAAGTGTTTAACCTACAGTGAGCAATTAGCATGTAAAAGCTCTTGTCACACTGTGTGATGTGGAATCAATTAATAAATTGATTATCTTACGCATCTGCCCCCGGGCCAAATTAAAGAAGTAATGCGTGCACGCTCCTAAAGTAATTCACACCAGACACAAGTTTCGGGTTAATGAAAAACTTGAGGAATGTTTATTCTGGGGGGACGGCATGCCCCTTATAAAGAAAAATTACATCATATGCATTGTCAGAGATAACATGGAATAATACATCAGTAATTGGTTAGGTGTTAAGTGGTTCATTTAGTGCTCTTCCTACCGGGTGTGATGTCACTGGTATCTTGGAGGTCTCCCCCAGATTCCAGCGCCAATTTGTTAATGAGGGTGTTAGTCGATGTTAAAGGGGAAACTCCCTAGCGGCCATTTTAGGTAAATCATATAGAAAGTTGAATAATGCTGATTGTAGTTATACTGAGTAAATAGGCATTTTACTAACATGGATTGGGTTAACATTTTTGTCCACAACACTGTGTGACTGAATTCTTCCCCTTGCCTCTTTCTTTTTAATCCAACGCTGGTTTGAAAGGATTTAGAGCTAAGAAATCTCTCAAAGACCTTCGTTGTGCGTGATGCAAGGACAATAAAAACTTAGAGAAAAAAATGGTTTCAGGAGAATTTCACTTCTGAAAGAAACGTCTGTTTCTAAGCTGTGCGCCGATTGGCTCGTAAAGCTTGTTAAGACGATTATTCTCTTGAAAGAAATCAAAGTCCCTTATAAATAACACACTGGTCCTATACTTTACAGCCTATTCCCAGAGCGATTCGTTCTTCACGGGAGACAGAATGTCAAATCAGTAAGTATGACGTTCTATGATATTAGTATTCTGCTCAGTATATTTGATTGATACATCAAACACTTTATAGTTTTCTTTTAAAATCATCATATTTTTTAACTGACTTTTTTTTGCACGAACATGAAAAAATACTATTAATTATTAAATAAATAACATTCATTTTTGCATCCATCTGAAATCCTTTTTGGTTCTAGAATCTAGTGTTACACATTGTGCTGTGAAAAAGACACTTGTAATATTTGTATTGTTTTCGTTTTCCTTAATTTAGCAATAGTAGATAAAACTTGTTTACTGTGAATATGAAACATTTTAAAAAAAAATTCAAAATGGTTTAATTTTTTCATAACTGATGGGAAAAAAAATTTCAGAATGGTTTAATTTTTTCATAACTGATGAAAAAAAAAAAAGGAAATAACTGTCGTTTAATTGGGTGGGGGGGGTATAAAAAATGGAATTGTGCGGGAATTAAAGGGACACTATATACACACCTGAACCACTACAGCTTAAAGGGACACTCCAGACCGTCTGGCGTGTCCCTTTAAGCTGTAGTGGTTCAGGTGTCTTTAGTGTCCCTTTAATTTCCCCACAATTCCATTTATTTTTTTTATATGCACTAAAGTTTGCTCTTTTCATTTTGGAAATAGTGCAGAATTAAATAGATATTGACACTTTTATAAATTATACTGGTTGCACCCCCCTGGCTTTTCTAGTAGACAATATGTCCTGTTACTTCCTGGTTTGCTTGGCTTATTTGCACTGGATTCAAGGCAGGCTTTTTAATGTGAAAGCACCTCTTGTGGTAGTCATAACGTAGGCCACTAGAGGTGATTTCTATGTTAGTGCTGCACTGTATGCCACACTTACATTTAGTATCTCCACACTCTGTATGGCATTAGAGAAAAGGTGAATACAAAAAAACACTTTTTATCTCGAGAGAGACTGAGTTGTGGACCTAAATAGTGAGCTTGCAAACAAAGAGGAAATCTCCAGGCACTCAAGGTGTTCACGCCACATGCAGATTTAACCCCTTCAGGATCGCTGACGGTTCAGGACCATCAGCGGTAAAACGTGCGTTTGGACCGCTGACGGTCCTGAACAGTCATAACGAAAAACGGGCTGCGGGAAGCGATCAAAGATCGCTCCCGCCAGTATAACACTGTAACTATCTGCCAGACATCCCAGGCAGATAGTAACAGCCAATTGCGGCGTGTGAGCAATCCGCAGTCGCTCACAATTGGCTGCTGTCAAAGTGGGTGTTACAAACACTCACTTTGACAGTGACCTCTGCCCTCTCTCCTCTGTAGCGTTTTGTGAGGCGAGAGAGATCGTGATAGTTTGTTGCAGCAGAAGTGTTCCAGAGCTTTATACAGGATCTAAAGTGAATAAAAAATCCCTTTTAACCCCTTCCCTGCCACATCTGTTACAGCAGTGCATTTGTACTGTCTGTATTTTATTTTATTTTATTGCCCTTAAAGGGTTAAATTTGTTTTAAATATCTGTGTCTTGGTTTGTTTTTGTCTGTCTTGGTCTTTCTTAGTCAGTCAGTTTCCTTCCCCCAAATCTCCATTAGATTTTTGTGACAGGATTTAGTTTAGGGATTGCTGTTTAGTCTGTTTTAGTAAAAAAAAAAAAAAAAAATGTGTGTGTTTAATTTGTTTTAGTCGTGTGTAAAACATGCAGCGTATGTATGACTTGCAGGAGGCATATGCCACTGACACTGCGTCAGATTTTGACCCAGGTCAGTTTTCTGACACGTCTAGTCAAGACGACATGTCATCTGTGCAGTGGCGTACACATGACCCATGGGGCCCCGGTGCGAAAATTGATCCGTGGGCCCCCCGCGCGCGCGTGCCGGGCCGCAACACATGGCGGTGGGCACCTGGTCGTAGGGGTTACAGGGCTGCGACCCCTGCGACCGTGGTATGTACGCCAGTGCATGCAGATGCACACACACACTTAAAGGACCACTATAGTGCCAGGAAAACATACTCGTTTTCCTGGCACTATAGTGCCCTGAGGGTGCCCCCACCCGCCCGGCTCTGGAAAGGGGAAAAGAGGTTAAACTTACCTTTTCCCAGCGCTGGGCGGGGAACTCTCCTCCTCCGATCCTCCTTCTCTCTTCCCCATCGGCTGAATGCGCACGCGCGGCAAGAGCTGCGCGCGCATTCAGCCCGTCTCATAGGAAAGCATTCATAATGCTTTCCTATGGACGCTTGCGTGCTCTCACTGTGAAAATCACAGTGAGAAGCACGCAAGCGCCTCTAGCGGCTGTCAATGGGACAGCCACTAGAGGAAATAGGGGAAGGCTTAACCCATTCATAAACACAGCAGTTTTCTCTGAAACTGCTATGTTATAAAAACAATAGGTTAAGCCTAGCTGGACCTGGCACCCAGACCACTTCATTAAGCTGAAGTGGTCTGGGTACCTAGAGTGGTCCTTTAAACAGACACCCAGATCACATCAGCTCAATGAAGTGGTCTGGGTGCCAGGTCCCTCTAGTTTTAACCCTGCAGCTGAAAACATAGCAGTTTCAGAGATTCACTGAGGGTTAATCCAGCCTATAGTGGCTGTCTCACTGACAGCCGCTAGAGGAGCACACTGAACGTCCATAGGAAAGCATTGAGTAATTGAATGCGTGTGCGGTCGCATTCGGAGCTGAGAGGCTGAGGGATCCCCAGCGCCAATGGAGTCCGGCGCTGGAGAAAGGTAAGTGCTGAAGACACACACACTCTCACTTACACACCTCTCCTTACAGACGCATACACACTAGCTAACAGACACACACATTTACTGACAGACACACTCAGCGACAGACATACATACACACTAACTTACAAAACATACACTCTCATTGACAAACACACACTCTCTAACAGACATCAAACAGACTCACTAACACACACACTCAGTAAGACACACACAGTAACACTCACTGACACACACAGTAACACTCACTGACACTCACTAGCAGACACACCCACTCACTCTAACGCTCACTCTAACAATCACTAGCAGACACACTCACTCACTCTAACACTCACACTCACTAGCAGACACACTCTAACACTCACACACACTAACACTCACTAGCAGACACACACACACACTAACACTCACACTAATACTCACTCTAACACTCACACACTCTAACACTCACACACTAACACATGTTGTTTTTTTTTTTAAATGTAATCCCCCCAGCCTCCTTACCTTTTGGAGTGCTGGGGGGATTCCCTGGGGTCCAGTGGTGCTGCTGGGCTCCTGGGCAGGTGGCCGGTCGGGCAGGCGGGCGCGCGAGGGAGCACTCAGTGCTTCCTCTTCAGCTCCCTCGCGCGCCGCGCAGGTATGCTGGCGCCGGAAGATGACGTCATCTTCCGGCTCCGGTATCAGTGCGGTGCGCGAGGGAGCTGAAGAGGAAGCACTGAGTGCTCCCCCGCGCGCCCGCCTGCCGGACCAGCCACCCGCCTTCCGGGTATCAGCAGGGCCAGCCTCGGGGGGCCCTGGGGTGGTCGGCTCCTGGGCCCCCCAGGGGAAGAGGCTGGCCCAGTGGCTACATACCGGGTCGCAGGGGCGGCCGGGCCCCCTGGTGGGCCGGGCCCGGTCGCAGCCACGACCCCTGCGACCCTGGTATGTACGCCACTGCATCTGTGTGTGAGCCGGCTGAAGAAAGAAGCTGTGCTTCCTCTGCTACGCCAAATGTGGAAGAGGACTGGGTACCTCCACAGTTAGCCAAGCCCAACGTCCCCCCTTTTAGTGCCAACGCAGGCATTAATTTTAATGTGGATTGCTTCTCTCCAATGCAGTATGTAGAACTATTTTTAGGGGATACCATCTGGGAGGAGATTGCCTCCCAGACTAACTTGTATGATAACAATCCAGGTAGCTACCACAGATGTCCCAGAGCTTAAAAAATTCTGGGCTCTTACAATGCTCATGGGGATTATAAAGAAGCCATCGATTCGCTCATACTGGAGCACCAACCCAATAATGTCTAGTCCAGTATTTTCCCAAACCATGCCTAGAGCCAGATACGAGTTACTGCTGAGATTTTTACATTTCAGTGACAATGCTCTCTGTCACCCTAGAGATCACCTCCAATACGATAGGCTTCATAAAATACGGCCACTGCTAGACCATTTTCAGGACAAATTTTCGGATGTTTATACCCCCCCAACAAAATTTATCCATAGATGAATCTCTAATGAAATACAAAGGGAGATTAGGGTTCAGACAATACATCCCCTTAAAGCGCTCTAGGTATGGCATAAAACTGTACAAACTGTGCGAGAGCGAAAGTGGATACACGTTTGCCTTTCGTGTTTGAGGGGAAAGATGGTCAACTGGACCCTCCTGGCTGTCCTGACTCCCTGGGGACAAGTGGGAAACTTGTATCGGACCTACAAACCCCTTGTTTAATAAAGGGTACCACCTTTATGTGGAAAATTTTTATAGTAGTGTCCGTCTGTTTAAAACACTTTATGGTTTACAGACACTGGCCTGCGGCACTGCCAGAAACAATTCCAAAGACTTTCCACGATCTCTCATAGAGGCAAAATTAAAAAAAAAAGGCGAATGTAAAGCACTTCGCAAAGTTGAAGTGCTTGCACTAAAATTTAGGGACAGGAAGGATGTCAACATGCTAACCACCATCCATGACGAACGCATGTAAGACGTCTCTGTCCGGGGGAGAGTAGAGTCCAAACCGGTTTGCATCAGGGCGTATAATAAGTACATGGGGGTTGTTGATTTGGCTGATCAGCTGATGCAGCCATATCTTATTTTACGAAAAACCAAAGCATGGTATAAAAAGGTGGCTATCTATCTGATGCAAATAGCAACCCACAACTCATTTTTGCTTTTTAAAAAAATAATCCAGGGAAAACCACCTTTCTCCAATTTCAGTTGAAAATAATTTCTTTAACAATTTATGGAGATGGACAAGTTCCAACAACGGTGCAAGCTGAGTCCAGGCATTTTATTTTTAAGTTACCGCCAACTGCTAGAAACCCCCCCCCCCAGAAACGTTGCCGGGTCTGTTTTAAAAACGGGAAAAGGACAGACACCCCTTTTCACTGTCCTGATTGCCCTTCGAAACCAGGACTGTGTGTAGGAACATGTTTCAAGCTGTACCACACAGAACAGTTGTAAGAAGTGTTCCTGAATTTTTATTTTATTTTTTGTTTCTTTGGAAAGCAGCCATTTTTTGTTAGTCAGTTTCCTTCCCCCAAATCTCCAGTTAGATTCTATTTGCAGGAGTCAGTTTAAAGATTGCTTCTAAATGTACATTTGCTACCTGCACATTTGGTCTAACAAGTTTTCTGGCAGTAACACATAACCAGCTAGCCAAAACCAGATGACGTGTGCATAGAAACCAGAATTAAAAAAATACCACTACACTTTCTTTGGGGGGCAAAATGGTTGGGGGAAAGAAGTCAAAACACCCCATCTTCTATAACCTTTGATGTCTACTTTATAAAAATATATACTATATATACTGTCATGATGGTAACATTAACTGGGGGGTGCAAAAATATGTCAAACTGAAGATAGACCAAGCATACCTATATATCAAGTTGAAAAACTGACACGTATAAGTTCTGATTGTTGCTTTTTGGCCCCCAAGCTACCCAGCAATCCTATACATGGGGGGTATCACTGTACTCGGGAGATGTTGCTGAACATATTGGGCAGTGTTTGGCAGTGACACATAACAGGATCTGTTAATTCATGCCTAAAGTACAATGTGTGTGACAAAGAAACAAAAAAAAGATTACTACCTAAAATTTTACAAAGGCTGGTGGTAGAATTAGTGCATGAAAAGTGTTAAAAGTCCACCATTTAAAATACCCTGGGTTGTCTACTTTTCAAAAATATATGGCTTGATGGGGATAAAATACATTGGCTCAAATGGGACATGGGCGCAGGTTGATTGCATGTCAATTCCAAGTTGGGAAACCGATAAGCGCACCTGCCAAATGTGGCCTTTTAGCCCCCAAAGAACCCGACAAGCCTATGCATGGGTGATATCACTGTATTCAGGAGATCTTGCTGAACACATATTGGGGTGTTGTTTGGCAGTGATATATAACAGGATCTGTTAATTCATGCCTAAAGTACAATGTGTGTGAAAAAAACAGAAAAAAAAATTACTAACTCAATGTTTGACAAAGCCTGGTGGTAGAATTAGTGCATGGAAAGTGTTAAAATACCACCATGTGAAATACCCTAGGATGTCTACTTTTCAAAAATATATGGTTTGATGGGGGTAAAATACATTGGCCGGCTTCAAAAATGTCCCAAATAGGACATGCATGCAGGTTGACTACATGTCAATATTCCAAGCTGGGAAACTGATATACGCACCTGCAAAATGTGGCCTTTTTTTTCCCCCCAACAACCCGACACACCTATACATGGGGGTATCCCTGCACTCGGGAGATGTTGCTGAACACATATTGGGGTGTTGTTTGGTAGGGACACCTAACAGAATCTGTGAATTTATACCTGAATTGCAATGTATGTGAAAAAAAAAAAAAAAAATTACATATGCAAAGTTTGGCAAAGGTTTAGGGTAAAATGGCTGCATAGAAAGTATCAAAATATTCTTAGATGAATACCCTGGGTTATCTAGTTTAAGAAAAATATATACATGTGGGGTGTTTTTTTGGGGGGAGATTTATGACATAACAGTGTTACAATGTCACTATTGATACATTTGAAAAATGTATTTTGAAACAGCAATTTCCTACTTGTACTTATAGCCCTATAACTTGCAAAAAAACACAAACATTGGGTGTTTTTAAACTCAGGACAACATTTTGAATCTATTTAGCAGTTTGTTTCATTCGATTTTGTAATCAGTAAAAGATTTAAGTAGAAGTCAAAAAACATGTGTTTTAATTTATCACCATATTTTATTATTTTTTAATAAAATTAAATTATATGGCATGATAAAAATAATAGTATGTAAAGAAAGCCCTTTTTGTCATGAAAAAAACAATATATAATTTGTATCGGAACAGTAAATGAGAGAGCGGAAAATTACAGCTAAACACAAACACCACAAAAGTGTTAAAATAGCTCTGGTCCTTAACGCACAAACATCGCAAAAATAGTCCGGTCCTGAAGGGGTTAATGGAACAAAAAAGAGCAACATTTCGACCTGCTGAGAGGTCACGCTTGATTGGGAGTATTATTTTACTTTCAGTAATACAGCGAACTTGAGACTAACAATAAACCGTTGCCATAATTAGACCCGGGAGTTTTGGGGACACCTCCTGGAGCTTAGATTAAATGTCTAAGTTCTACCATTAAAATATCTTAAACACAGCTTAACCTTTTGAGATCATGGTTAACACTACATATAGGTTTTTTTATTTTTAGTTATTAGCTATTGTAACATTTGAAGGTGAGAATAGTATAAATTAACCTGCTGAGTGCGGATGTGGGAAGACGATTGACTGTAGGGTACTAGATCTATCAAGTTTTGCTAAGCACATATATCTTTTCATTCTGATGGAAAACAAATGAAGTGTTGCCCCGTTGTATCCTGCATAAGGAAAAATGGTTAATTGCGTGAGTGATTAATTATTTTCATAAGAAGAAACATTTTTGTAGAAGACATTAAGACACTATTAACAAACACCTCATTTATAATGGTTACATTTAGGGTTGTGAGAGGATAGGAGAAAGGCTATGGTCGAGATTAGGATTTAGGATTAGAAGGTGTTTGGATTTTGGGATTAGGATTAAGTGGATTTGGAGTTAAAGGGGACCTGTCACTACCCGGGATATTACATATGACACGTGTTTGTTAGGCCTGAAAAATAATACTAAAACTCCACACTACTGTATGAACCTCTCTCCTGGAACTTCATGCTTCCATTTGTACACGTTCTGTCCCTTCCACCTGGTCCTCAGCATAGAGAAAATGTACTGAAAAGTATACAATATTTTATTTTTATTTTATTTTGGCTTTGCCTTCTCTGGACTGATTTATGCAAAATCTTTAATACATATTTAAAGACTATAGAGCAGTGGATCCCAACCCAGTCCTCAATCACCCTCTACCAGTCCAGGATTTAGTGATTACCAACTTGTCTAAGGTGCTTTTAGAAAGAAAGAAAAAACAACACTTTGGACACAACAGGGTAATCCCTAAATTCCGGACTGTTAGGGGGTGCTTGCGGACTGGGTTGGGACCCCCTGCTATACAGCATCACATGAAAAAGATTTAATCCAAGTTACAGATGATTTACAATGTTTTATTCAATGGTGTGATTTCCAGAGAAGTGGTGGTTCCCTTGTAAGTGATAGGTAGGTTCAAGATGCTGTTTCTGCTGTGGGCCCAAGTTATTTTTTTTTTTTTTTTTAGAAATCCTCTAGTGAGAGGGCCCCTTTATACCACATTTTTGTCATGAAAGGAACACTATAGGCTCCAGAAACACAACAGCTTTAACTTCTCCCTAAAGTCACCTGTAGTTGCTGTCACTCAAATAGCCATTAGATGCACTTCCTGGTTTTGGTCCTTGAAAGAAACATACCCTTTTCCAGGACAGGTTTGTGAATGGGAAGTCACTGATTGGCTAAGAACGTCAGCTGACTGCTCTCAGCCAATCAGTGTAACCCCTGCCCGGCTGCACTTAGTGCTTCCTGAAAGTAACATTTCTGAAGCCGGATGCCATCTGGGGGGGTAGAGGACATCGCAACTGGAGGCAGCTCTGGGGTTAAAGCTGTGAACGATTTAACTCCTGAAGGTGAGTGTCCGGCACCATAACTTAATTTAGATGTTTTTATGGTGTCATAAGTAGCCTAAACTGTCTCTTTACAGGAACACCCAAGCACCAAAACCACTTCAGTGCATATGGTGCCAGGAGTGCCCCTCCCACAGTCAGTTTGCAAAAAGCTTGAAAACCTTCCAGGGGTCTACATGACACCTGTCACTTTCTCCATTAAGAGCCAGAAGCTCCTGTTGGGAGTTATTGTTAGCCCTACTCAGTTTAAGCTCATTGGCTGAAAGAGTAAGCTGGGCCTATCTCAATGACCCTCCTGGAGGAGGTTACCAATGCCCAGTAGACCCAGTTTAAATTGTCAAACCATTGGTGTGACTACTCATACTGGAGGGTGCCTGGGAACTCTTGGCTCCATAACCACTAAGGCTCTCTGTAGTGGTTATGGTGTTTAGCGTGTTCCTTTAACCAAACCTTGCAAGTTTTAATGAGGATGGGGCTTATTAGCAGATTTCAAATAATGACCTCCGTTCTGCTCAGAACAAAAGACCAAACATTGTAAAATACATAAAAACTGAGTGTGTGCCTGTACTGTCCAATTAAAGGGACACTATAGTCACCAGAACAACTACAGCTTATTGTATTTGTTCTGGTGAGAAGAATCATTCCCTTTAGGCTTTTGGCAGTAAACACTGTTTGTTTGTTTGTTTGTTTTTTCCAGAGAAAATGCAGTGTTTACATTACAACCTAGTGACCACTCCACTGGCCACTGCTCAGATGGCTGCTAGAGGTGCTTCCTGGGGCAGTGCTGCACACTGTGCAGTGCTGCCATTCAGTGTCTCCACCCTCTGCATGCAGAGACTGAACTTTAATTCATCTCTTTTGAGGAGATGCTGATTTGCCAGGGCTGTGTTTGACTTGCGCTGACTCTGCCCCTGATCTGCCTCCTTGAAAGTCTCTGCCAATCCTATGTGAAAGCATTGTGATTGGCTCAGAGAATTACTTCTGATTATTTTAGCCAAGCAGGCAGATCAGGGGAAGAGCCAGCAGCTTGCAGACTGGGAGATTTTATTATATTTAGGGGGACAGGAGGGGCTAGATTGTGGTTTTAACACTATAGGGTCAGGAATACATGTGTGTGTTCCTATAGTGATACTTTAATGTATAATTACATGTATCTTCTTAGTTTGGATGTGTTTATGGTTGAATTTCTTAAATATTATTGTTTTTTATTTTCAGAGTGGAGCATCCAGCGGGGGGTTATAAGAAATTGTTTGAAACCGTGGAGGAGCTGGCAACGCCGATGAGCGTCCACATTACCGGTTAGTTGACATTGCATTGTCTTGACCTTTTTTAACATAAAACCCAGATCCCTCTGTCTCTTTTAAGGAACACGTTATGGCCAGGAATACAAACGTGTATTCCTTACCCTATAGTGTTAAAAACACTATTTAGTTGCCCGGGTCCCCCTCTAGCTCCTTAAATATAGTAAACACTTACCTTAGTTCCAGCGCTGCACGGATCAGCCGGCGCTGGCTCATGCCCCGTTCCGCTCCTTAGCTGACGTGAGAATTGATGATCTCCCATAGGAAAGCATTGGATTGGCTGAGATAGCCAATTCTGATGATCTCAGCCAAGGAGACGGAGACCTGTACAATTAGCAACTGCTCATAAAGATGCATTGAATCAATGCATCTCTGTGAGGAAAGTTCAGTGACACTGAATGTCGGTGCTGTACACTGTGCATCACTGCCCCAGAAAGCACCTCCAGCAGCCATCTGTGGAGTGGCCAGTGGAGGTATCAGTAGGCTGTTATGTAAACACTGCCTTTTCTCTGAAAAGACGGTGTCACAGCAAAAGGGCTGCAGAGACTGACTATACTCACCAGCAGCAATACAACTCACATTTTAATGTATAAATGTTTTCTGATAATTAGTTAGTATAAACGTAAGCAGAGATACCCCAAAATATCCGAAAAGTATAGTCCTTAGAAAAGCCAGTGTTTCCCCACTGAAATTGGAACGCTTTGCACAATAATGGCAATGCTGTCTAGAGGGTGGGGAGTTAGTGCCCCTAGAACAACTCAATACTTTTTGTGTTTGTGCCTTGTGTATGCCAGCTACAGGGGGGTGGGGGTGAGGGGGATTGTTTGGGTGTTTTACTTTGCAGGGAAGTACTTAGCACTTTTGAAAAGAGAAAAAAAACATGCACCCATTTTTCATAGTTTGTTTAACCTGGCCTTTCTATTTTAACACGTGTAAAAGTGCAGTTTCTCTCAATGAATTGGGAACAGTTTATCAAAAATGTACAGAGATTATCAAACAAAACTTTTTGAGTAATCTGAATTACTTCTGAATTTTTCCACTTGACTTTAAATTTTGTAACTCCACACTGAAATGTTTTAGAAGTAACCAAATCTTTTAAATACATTTTAGTTTTTTTTTTAAATAAATTACACATTCCTCACAGCTAGACAATCATGAATGGAAGAGATCTGTCAACTCACCCACCCTCCTAGAAATATCGGGGCGATCGGTCACCCCATCCCCCCACATTCTATACCTGTGTAAATTAAACAAGCTATTCTTGAGCTTTTTAAATGTGTTTTTCTATTACTTAAATGAAAGCCAGGACATGACACCACCTTGAAAACTATTATTACATAAATGGAAGCTAGGATTTGACACCACCTTGAAAACTGATAACACAACATACAATTATTTGTTTTTATCTGCAGATACAGTTTAAACTATAAGGGTTCTTTTATGCTCATAAAGAATTGTAATCCTTCACTTAAAGCGAATAACCCATGGAATGATGTGTATAAAGGTATAACTAGCAGAACAGTACAAAGTTATAGTTAAGAGATAACTGATGATATAGATTTGGTATTGCTGAATACATGTATCACGAAAACACATTACTATAATAAAGTACGCAGACCCTAGTGACCCACTATCCTTTGAAAAATTAGTCAGCGATCTATTAATAAACCACAAAAGGAAGCCGGGGGTCTAAAAAAAAAAAAATCGACAAATTGTTATAGAAGAATATTTATCCTTACCTGTTTATATTATGAAAATTATAAATAGTCATGGAATAAATATCATGACGTTTAAAAGGTTATAGAATTAGATTCTCCTAGACATCATCTCCTTGCAAAGCTCAATACATACTCGGTTGAAGGAAGAAAGCAAACATCTAGTGATGGAATAAGCTGTGCGATCTCTAGACAAGTCATATAATGGGTGCACAGAGGTGTCTCCATGTTGTAGTGGCCTTTGGAGAAAATGCATCTATGCATGAATTGGTTTAATTGGTGCCACCATGTTCAAGGATGGAAGATTTTCAGTTAAGATTTTATGTTAAAACATGGCTCACACATGTTCTGCTTGGCTATAGGTAGAGACTGTATATGTATAAACGTTATCTATATATCACAGATGGGAATGATTACACAATGGCTATTATGGGTTCTGAGTCCATAGATAAGAGAGTCTACGTAATTCAGCCCAAAAACATTGGGAGGGAAAATCCCAAAACGTGCAAAATGTAATTTAAAAAAAAAAAAGTACCCTTATTGCTTCATAGTTAAAATTGGGGCTGGGACCAGCAGTAGCGGGAAAGACATCACCACGATAATGCTAATAGTTTCTGTGCTTTATGAGCACTTCATCAGAGATGAATAAAGAGCCCATGATGCATGAAACGCGTTGGCTTTTTTGGGGGGTAGATGATGTACATGCCATCATGAGACAGAGTTTCCTCAGTAATCCAGATGTTCTGCCTGTTGCCTACAGAGGGTACACTAGTGGCTTATAGTTTCAAGTTATGATGGGTCATAGAGTGAGTCACTGCCCCAAGATTAGAGGACCAGCACAAGAACGTATACAGAGAGATATCACCTATAAAAAGGAGGAGCTAAAAAAAGATACTTCATTGTCAGATCTGGGGACCTTTGTCTACTGTTCTAGAAATAAGCAGTCTGAAGATGATCTGTGAGCAATGTGAAAGATTTGACCTTGGGGGAATATGTAAATGAAGAATCTCTTTCTAAATCTGTGGCTTTGGCATAAATTCCAAATCTCTACAACACAACGCCTGGCTCATTGGCACTCGGAGAGCTGAAGGCTTGGACAAAGAACAAAGACCATGCTTATCAATAAGACATTCTTGAACAAGGGTACACATTCAAAATCTCAGCTGGAATGTGTGTGAAGTCCTTTGTGGAAACTATAAGTCCAAGTCAAAGCTTCTTATAGACAAAGCCATGACCAGTAGATTTTATCCTGTTTGTGGTCACACAGATCAGGATTCCAAAACTCGTAATAACAATTCTGCAGATCAGGATTCTAAAACACGTCCCGGGTAACCTCAGAGATCAAGGATATATAGATCACCTACCTGAAAAATACTTCAAAAATTATTTCTAGAGATAAAAGGGCAATAAATCCACTCAAAATCTTTGATGTTGAACAACTGAAATATGAATAATTATAACAATGTTGGAGGACCATGTAGCCTCAAAATAAAATGTTGTACTTAATTTTTATTTTTGTTTTGCACTTGTCTACTACTTAATATAGAGATAAACCCTGACCCATTTTTATATCCTTTCTAAATAATGTATATCCATTTAAATTAATAGCCCAATCAAGTTTCATCCCACTACATTTTAGTAATCCCAATTGTCATAATGCTCATTGTATGCCAATATCTTAAGCTCCTCCACTTTCCTACAAACTTTTTGCATTAGCCAGCAGACATTTAAAGTTACCATTTGTTTCTTGAACGTTATTTGAACGATTTGCAACTAATACCTTCTTTCTCTGTTTTCTAATATTACTACTGCCCACTGCCTCCACCCTCCTTCACTTTAGCTGAATTCCCTCTCTTTTCTGTACTACCTATTATTATTATTATTATTATTATTATTATTATTGCCATTTATATAGCGCCAACAGATTCCGTAGCGCTTTACAATATTATGAAAGGGGATTTAACTATAAATAGGACAATTACAAATAAACTTACAGGAACAATAGGTTGAAGAGGACCCTGCTCAATCGATCTTACATTCTATAGGAGGTGGGGTGTAAGACACATTAGGACAGGAATGTACAATCAAATAAGGTGGGCTGCCCTTTAGGAGAGGGCAAGAGATGGGTATGTGAGGTAGGGGTTAGTCTTGGAGGCCATAAGCTTTCCTACCACATTTACCATTCTATGACGCCCCACCAATCATAGTTTAAAGCCACCCCCAACCTTCTAGCAATCCTGTTCCCCAGCACAAAAGGCCCTCTTCCATTCTGGTGCAATCCATCTTGGCTGTAAAGATTGTGCCCATGCACAAAATCAACCCAGTGCTCTAAAAAGCCAGAGTCCTCCTTCCTACACCAACACTTCAGCTATGCCTTGTCCTCTTCTTAGGTTTGCCACCTAATTCCCTGAACTCAAGGTCCTCCATCTTCCTCTAACATTGTGAGGGGTACCAACATGGACCATAACAGCTGGCTCATTCCAGCATCTCCCAATAATCTATTCAGTCTGTCAGCAACATGTGGCACCCGGGAGACTGCAAACTGTCCGGTTGATGCAAATCAGTAGTTACGTTCTAGTTTTAAAAAAAGTTTATTCCTCTGTAGTGAATAGGTCAGAGTGGCCCTAAATTGCTGCCCTGCCAGCATACTCTCATTTTGTGGTGGGATTATCCCCCAGTAAGATAGTGGGCATACCCACCCCACCCCTTCCAATATCAGAACTGCAAACTTGGCAAATATGAAGTCCTGTCTCGATTTCAGACTACCAAACTTGGCAGCTCTGGTGACCTTCAGTTCCAGGATTGTAGTCTATTATAAATAGCTTCAATAACACCGGCTTGTTTCAATTGATTTTGAAAATTGGTATTCACAAGAGAGCTGCAAATCTCAAGCCAAGTCTTAAAATTAGCTTTCTATCTTTGCCCATTTTAAATTAAAATGTGTAATTCTCCAAAATTTACAGTTTAGAGCTTCCAAGTCAAAATTTCATTTAATCTTGTGTTTTGAAATTCATAATATAGCTCTTAAAAAGCTGTACCAGTTGATTTGCCATCTCCTGTGATTTACGCTATTATCTATTAACTTGGACTTATTCCTTTGAAAAGGTCGCGTTCCACTTTGGTTATCAGGCAGTCTCCTAAGATGTGGACCTGGGCTGTTTGAGGTTGGCTCTGAAATTTATTACCATTTGTTTGACGGACAGGCCCTTCTCCATAAATTTGAGTTCAAAGACGGACATGTGACGTATCATCGGAGGTACCTACAAAAAAAAAAAAACCTTCAGTTAACCTGTTTCTCTTCTTTTGCTATTTCCTTTGCTTGATAATGTGATTCTCATATTCTCCTGATTCTGTTCTAAGTTAGAACATTGGAAGGCTATTCCTGATATGGGCTAATTTTTCTGTAATATAATATTGCTCCCAAATACCCTTTAATCTTTATCCGGTACTTCTTGGGCTTTTTTTTTTTTTTTTTTTAACTCCCGCCATATTTGAAAGTGTATATTATTGAGATGTTGCTCTTAATAAGTAGATGTACTGAAATATATGATGTCTGAAATATTTGAACTAAACTCCTATTGAAATAGATACATACATATAGCCAGCGATGGTGAGGTAATCAAGAATGAAGGAGAAAAAAAAAAGGAATATCCAATCTTTGTTCTCCAGCTGCTATTGAATTAAAACTCCCACAATTCTTGCGTTATTGAGCAATCTTTCTATTTGCAGATTTATTCGTACCGACGCTTACGTCAGAGCAATGACAGAGAAGCGTATTGTAATTACAGAGTTTGGCACCTTTGCATTCCCCGATCCCTGTAGGAATATATTTTCAAGGTAAGCAAAGTGTTTTTCGAATGGACAATCCCTGTTTCAATCTTTCTGCTCCCGTTTCTATCCTAATATCCCTTTTATCTAGCCTATAAAAGAGTTTCACAGCAATACAATTTGCCATAATATGTACTTACAGTACAATGAATGTGTGTACGGTGTGCTTGTTCTAAATTGTTTTTTAAAGTTGTGTAAATATCAATAGGTCACAAAATCTCCTAAAAATGTCCTATGATAACCGCTCTCCCTCTATCCACACCCATTAGAATATAAGATTCCATTTTTGTCATTTGGAATGTTGGTAGTTATGGTAAATTGTATCTATAGAATGTTCTAGTATCAGTAAGCTAGTGAATGCTCATTTTTCTGTGTAGGTTTTTTTCATACTTCAAAGGTTTGGAAGTGACCGATAATGCGCTGGTCAACGTGTATCCTATCGGCGAGGATTATTACGCCTGCACCGAGACAAATTACATAACGAAGGTTAATCCAGAAACTCTGGAAACCATTAAAAAGGTGGGCCGTTTTCTTTTAAGATTATTATTTCATATTTTGTATGTGCATTCCGTTTACTGAACTTAAAGGTATTTATCAAACTTGAAGGGAAACTATAGTGTCAGGAAAACAAACTTGATTGGGTGCTTAACACCCACCCTTACCTGGTCCGCCTTCTCTCCTCCCTGTCAACATCCCCATAGGAAAGCATTATACAATGCTTTGCAATGGGGATTCCGGTGATGCTGGATGTCCTCATGCATAGCCAACCAAAAGTTGCCTAACAGCTTGGAAGTCCCTCTACTAGAGGTAGAGTTAACCCTAGCGGGTAATTATTGCAGTTTCTTAAACTTGAACTGCAATAATTACTTTTCCAGGGTTAAGGGACCTGGGACACTGCACCCAGACCACTATGAGCTAAAGTGGTGTGAGTGCCTGTAGAGTCCCTTTAAATAGACATAAAGAAATGAGGTGGAGATCTCCTAAAATGACTGGGAATGTAATGAATATAACATTGTGGTCTAACAGATGGAGAAATCGCTGACAGATGAAATTTGTAGGTTATATTTTTTGAGTATATATATGTGGAAACAAGGAAAGATTATTTTTAAGTTTTTTTTTTTTTTTTTTTGTTGTTTTTTTGTTTTTTTGTTTAATGTAACATGTAATTATCAATAAGATAAATAAGTTATTGCGGTTTATTTTTTTGGCAGGTGGATCTTTGTAAATATGTTGCCATTAACGGAGTCACAGCTCATCCTCATATTGAACGTGACGGCACGGTATATAATATGGGAAACTGCTTTGGAAAGCATTTTGCATTTGCCTACAATTTAATACAAATCCCACCATTGCAGGCAGGTGAGTGTCTAACTTAACAGACCATCAAAGAGCAGGTTGTTTGTAATATAGCTACTGAGTTTACCTCTGTTATTTGTCCATTAACGGATCACATTTTTTACAACCATGTATATACACATGCTAAATGAAAAATTTCAGGTTAATGCAAAAGATATTAATCCCATAAAGTACAACTTCATTTCCTTCTTTGTTCTAGAGCTGTTTGTTAACCTGCAGAGAAACAACACACTAGATAATGTTTGGGTTCTGAAAGACGGTAGCCTGGACTCTCATTGAGCCAAGTGTCTTTCCAACCCTTACCCAATGAAGAATGCATGGATTATTTAAAAACCATGGCAATAAGATTCAGGATAATCCACGGAGCATGGCATTATCCTGAATCATCTTCTAACACATGTAGGGGGGGATAGGTACGCCCCTTTTCAGTCTCTCCGCTCTGCTGGTGACCTTCTCCTGTCCAAAGCTCGCACAGTTACTGCTAACTCGCATTTACAAGACTTCTTGTGGGTGGATCCTACTTTTTGGAACAGCCTGCCTACCCCATCAGACTCTCCCCTAGTCTTTAATCATTTGAGAAGTCCCTCAAAACACATCTCTTTAGAAAAGCTTCCCAGAGTAAATTATATTTATCAAGCCCGTCTCTTGTTCTCTCGTAAAGGACCACACTCCACTGACATATTTCAGTTCGGCTATTTTCCCACCTTGTTTCTTAGTTGCTATCCCCTTCGATGCCCCACTTGTTGTTTTCCTACACCCGACCTCCTCTATATTGTAAGCTCGTTTGAGCAGGGTCCTCATCAATCTACTGTTCCTGTAACATTTTGCAATTGTCTCATTTATTGTTACATTTCGCCCATTTATAATATTGTAAAGAGTTGTGAAAAAGGTTGGCGCTATATAAATAATAATAAGGCAGAGAAATCAATGGTAGGCAGATGTTCAGATATCCATAAGATATCCAGTCCCGTGTTCCAAGTTTAAAACACAAAAACAGCCAGGTGGCTAATGGTCAGCAGTCCTATGCCTACCGAACCCAGAGCTCCAGAAAGATAAACAAAAAAATTAAATGGAATGAGAAAAATACTGAATTATAATATTTGATGATAAGGTGAATAGTATGTTGTGTTACATGTTTTTTTTGCCTTTTATTTATTTATTTTTGTGCCTAGACAAATGGATCTCCTGAATAATACGTTCGCTACCAGCTAACCAAAGTGCCATGTACAGTGCTAAGATTTTGCAGTAACGTGTCCATATTTAAATATTCTGCTGATTTCAGACAAAGAGGATCCAATAACAAAAGCCAAAGTGGTGGTCCAGTTCCCCTGCAGTGACCGGTTCCAGCCATCCTACGTCCACAGGTAATCCAGATCACAAGTAATGTTTAATGATTCTTTAGAACACTATCTGCACATTTGCCCAAGTCACCGTTACTCTGCTTATTTTTGAGTATCCAATGCCTTCTCACTGAAATTGCATTTCTCTTCCAGCTTTGGGATGTCCACAAACTATTTCGTCTTCGTAGAACAGCCAGTGAAAATTAATTTGTTCAAGTTCCTCTCAGCCTGGAGTATTTGGGGAGCAAACTACATGGACTGCTTCGAGCCCAACGAAACTATGGGAGTGAGTAACCCGCACAGCCTCCTCATCGCATATTTATCAGAAAGACATGAAAGCTGGTCCTCTGGGCTTCAAAACGTTCAGGATTTAAATTTCCTTGGTATCATTTTTCAAAATTGTCAATAAATGCCTCCCTGCCCATGGTTTGGCATAGCTTGGTTTTATTGATAACTCAAAAAAATAAGGATAATTTCTCACAATTGAATTGCCCCACTTGTAAATCAAGGTGTTTGAATTGATAAACCTGTATACATGCACAGATCTCATGGGGCATGTTTTTGTTTATAATAAAACTGTGATTTAGCTTGGTCACTAGAACACAAAATCTCCATCTTGAGTTTGAACTCTGCCATATAGAATACTTGTGTTTTCTTTTGTTTTATGCAAATATAGTTGCTATTGTTTTTAAGTACAACTAAAAAGAGGAAACACCATTATCTGTTAACTGCTTAAAGGGACACTCCAGATCCCTGAAGCACGTTAGCTTGCTGAAAAGCTTTATGTGTGAAGAGAGTGTGTGCTTTTTTTTTTTCATTTTACAAAATGCACATATATGAATAGAAATTGTCCCTTTTTATATAGTCACTTTGTTACACCCCCTGGCTGTCAGTCAGACAAAAGGCCCTGTTACTTACTGGTTATTGGGTTCAGTGGAGTCAGCAGTTGCTCAGAGCACCTGCTTTGCAAAGACTTCTCATTGAGCCGAAAAGTCTGTGATTGGACAGCCACAGAAAGTCTGGACGGGGGTAGAAAGAAAGGGGTTCAGACAAGTTATAAGTTATCTGCAGTCTTTTCTAGGTGTTTTAGATATACCTCCAATTATTAAAAAAATCATACTTAAATGCATGCATCTTCAAAACAGTGATTTGTTTATTTTTAATTGAGGGGGCGTGGAGTGTCCCTTTAAAGGCCAACTTTCACCAAATGTTCACTACTCATTTTCTAAACGTTTGTTACAGTTAATGAAACTTAATGATATATATATATTTAAATGTTGTATATTGATTATTATTATAACTTATTTTTATATATATATATATATATATAACTTTACAGTTTTTTCTGGTTATAAACCATGTTCGATCAGACTCTTCTGTTATCTCTCTAGCCAACTTCTGCTCAACCTAACTTGTCTGCTGCTGTGAATGTTCAGTGTGAAACTGCAGCAGCAGCAAGTTAGGTTGAGCAGCAGTTGGTCAGATAACTGTAGAGTCTGACCCAACAGGGCTGCTCGGACAGAATAAAAGTGATATTTTCTCAAAAATATCTTTAAATAAAAAAAAAAAGCAAGTAAAATTTTGATTTGTTGTCCTTTAAAATCCTATTGCAGTGTTTGCCATCCTAACAATCGTTTTCTTTTTTAACATACCTATCCCAAAACAGTACATCTTTATCTTTTAATAAAGGCGGGCCTGGCATAAGTGTTTTTTTTGCTTTGTTTGTTTTGGGGGTGGGGGGGACCAGACTGCAATGTTGACAAACGCTGTCATGTGTCTTTTAATGGAAAATAGTTTGGATGCATAATATTATACCAACTATCCAATATGAATCAGTTCAGCTAACTCCTCTCTTCCTCCCCTTTTTGATGGTGTAGGTGTGGATGCATGTTGCAGAAAAACACACAGGAGAATATCTCAATATAAAATACAGGACGTCCGCATTCAATATCTTCCATCACATTAACACTTACGAGGACAATGGCTTTTTGGTTGTGGACGTCTGCTGCTGGAAAGGGTAATGCGTTGCCATGCCTGAAACTGCAAAGAGGGATTTAAAGGGGAGATGGCACTTCCCAGGATTTTTAATATTATGTATATTTATTTCTATATTTAGCATATATGTATTTGTGAGGTGTCAAAAATTAATATAACTATTGAAATACGCACCTCTGAATCCTGCAACTGGGTTCCTCCATCTTGGCTCCCTGTCAATCACTGCTATAAATCTTTTTTTTGTGCACCTGACTTTCAGCCGAAAGAAAGTCTACAGAGAAACAATGTTTCTATTTCTCCTCTTCATTTGCAATGTTTGCCCTGGATTTGCCTTGTCTGAACTGGATTATGGTGTCTTTGCTTCAAAATGGAGCATTTTATAGAAAAAAGGGGCTAGCACGTGTTGTATGGGATTTCCAATGTTTTATTTAGTGGTGCCGTAGAAGTGATAGTTGTCCTTTAATCACCCCAATTCAAAACTATGGATCGCAGATCTGTGGATCTGTACAAAAATATTAATAATCTCTATCTTTCTTTCTGTAGGTTTGAATTTATCTATAATTATTTGTACCTGGCCAATTTACGGGCAAATTGGGAAGAAGTTAAAAAACATGCTGAAAAAGCTTCTCAGCCTGAAGTCCGCAGATATGTTCTACCCCTTGATATCAAGACGGTATGTTATTCATCCACGGACATAAATTATAGTAATGAAAATGTAAAAATCCATTCTCTTCTATCTACCCCAAAATGTGTAGTTAATTTCTTACCTGTTTCCTGGGGGGTTGAAATAGGAAAGCCAATCTATTTTTCTCAACCTCACTAAAATAGACCTACCGGCATGCTACTTTTGGGATGTAGAGTCCTGCAGATGTTTGACCATAACCAAGGATAATTTTACTAAGAGTTTCCATACTAAAAACACCAGACCAAGTCCCTCCATGCCCCCTTTTCAAATTCAACTTTCCTGAATTTCCTTTAACCCCGTAAGGTCCAAACTTCTGGAATAAAAGGGAATCAAGACATGTCACACATGTCATGTGTCCTTAAGGGGTTAAAGGGAAATTCTAAGAACCATAACTACTACAACATATTGTGGTGGTTATGTTGCAAGACCTATATGAGTTCACTCTCTGAAGGTTTCACAAAACTGTTATCAAGTAGTTTGACGAAAAACAGGCTTTTACCAGCAGCCTATGTTCCTCATCAGCAATCTTTAAGCTGTCAGTAAATATCAAATAATACATGGTAAGATATATAGTTATAACACAAATGTTATCAGGAAGCTAAAAAGATTGAAGCTTAACAACTACAGGAGACTTTGACAAATATTGCAGCCGGGGTCCTATCTAAGGAGCTATCTCATGTACGAAAATACCGTTTTTAGGTTTACGTTGTGTTTGGATGATTGGCACATTTTGACCATTAATAACATGGTCATTTTGAAAAAGAAGAAAATGGTATATTATTGCTACATAGTTTTTTTGTTTTTTTTTAATTATTATTATTATTCCAGGAAGACACTGGTAAGAACCTTGTGTCATTGCCGTATACCACAGCCACTGCCACACTACGCAGCGATGGAACGATCTGGTTAGAACCAGAGGTGTTGTTCTCAGGTCCTCGCCAAGGTAGGAACGTTGAATATTAAATTTAATAGAAACAAAAGCTTAAATCATGAAACAATATTCAGTGGGTTGTAACAAAATTTCTTCTTAACCAACAGCTTTTGAATTTCCACAAATCAACTACAAGAAATATGGAGGAAAACCCTACAGTTATGCCTATGGCCTGGGACTCAATAATTTTGTTCCAGACAGGGTAAGATTATCCCTTTGGGTTATAGCTGGCTGCTCAGTAAGCAGAGATAGTCAAATAACGGGGATTTAATTTTTCTTCCTAGCTTTCCAAACTCAATGTTCGAACCAAAGAAATCTGGGTATGGCAGGAGCCAAACATGTACCCCTCCGAGCCAATTTTTGTTTCATGTCCAGATGCCCTTGAAGAAGATGATGGTAAGCTAACCTTTAACGATTAGAAATAGTAGCACAACGTAAAATACAGGAGAATCAGCTGGTTTCGATTCACTCATTTAAAAAAATGTATACATCAAAATGTTCAAAATGTTCACTTGACCTCTACTAAGTAAATGTGATTCTTCTGCAATAATGAGGCTTCCTATTCCAAGAAGGGATTAACAAACTAATATTTCTGGGACATCTGAATCTTATCCTATTGTATGGAAAGTGAGGATACACGGTCATTGATCTATGTATGTGTTTGTCAGCAAAGACTGTCATCTGTTTACCGGCACAGGTTGTCGTCGGTCTGTGTGTGTTTTTGTCAGCACAGGCTACCACTGGTTTCTGTATTTGTTTGTAAGAAGAGGTTGTCATTGGTCTCTGTGTGTGTTTGTCATTGGTTTCTGTATGTTTTCCAGAACAGGTGGTTGTTGTTTGTCCGCCCATGCTGTCACTGAGTCTCAGTATGTGTTTATCAGTACAGATTGGCTTTAGGCTATATATGTAGTACTGTATATACACATATTTACACACAAATAATATTGCCTTATTTTAAAGTCTAGTAACCCTCTTACAAAATATTTGACTCACTGGTGTAATTAAAATTACAGTCAATTTTGGTTTTCCATCAGTCCTTCTGGTTTACAAATCGTGAAGCCATATTTAAAGCACTTTTCATTTCGAATTCTCGAATACTAATGAAAAACTATTAAAGAATGAGAATCCATGAATTAGTATCTTACATTAAACATCTCGATTGAGGAAACGTTTAATTCATGCACGTAAGGTAAAGCAGTTGGGGCCACTATGCATTAGCTCAACAACAAAAAGAACATGAGAGGCTAATTGATGGGCCCTTATTCTTGGACTTTTGCAGGAGGTATATGTGTTACATAAAAAGTGCTTTTACAGAAGCGAAGGGATTAAGATGGAGCCTATTACAGTTTTACTGCATATGATAAGGGTTATTTACTAAAGTCAGAATTAATCGTGAATTTCAAGTTTAAGGCCAGAGAAAAACAAACTGCATGGCATAGCTGATTCCCAATTTGTTTATTTTGACTTAATATTTGAAATTCACTTTGAATTCTCACATTTGTTAGAATAACCCTCTGTTGCTTTCTTATTTTTATTTTTTTTGGTTCGTTCTGCTAAAAGCAATACTTCTAAAAGCAACCATCTTTATTTTACTGTAGGAATTCTGCTCAGCGTGGTTGTCAGCCCAGCTGTGGGACACAAGCCTGCGTTTCTCCTAATTTTGGATGCGAAGGACATGAGTGAAATTGCCAGGGCAGAGGTGGACACCAATATTCCAGTCACATTCCACGGCATGTTCAAACAAGCCTGACCGGTGGCTAGGACTGAATTCACAATGGCTTTATAAATCTTTTAACACCAAGGTCCTTGAAGTGAATGCTTTAAAAAGAAAACGAAAAAAAACAGCATGTCTTCAGAAAAAAACATATCATTTTATTCTCACGGCTTCTGCTCCAGTCCTAGATGGGACAGAGATAAATGCCGTCTACACTATGTCCTCGATAGGATACAGATTGTCATCACAGCAGCACGCAAACTGACAGACGCAGAACTTGGGACACATTCTGATCAAACATTAAACTCGCTGCACGGCAGCTTGTAATGTATCTGACAAACTAGCGCTGTGTACGTGATCTGTGTGAAAAAATATTTTCTGAACCATTTTGTAGCGAACGCCAAGTATATTTCTATTACATTCAGACAAAAATTCCCATTTGCTTGTCACTTAGTTATATTACTATTCAATTAAAAATGTTGCCTTACAATGTGTATTATTTTTTTTATTTAATTTCCTCAGTCAATAAAACGCATTTAATGTTTATTCACAAATTTTCTGGATAATGATTTGCTTGGAAAGTTCTGTAAAAATAATAGTATTAAAATAATTGGGTTCAGATAGTTTTAGTTGATGTATCCCATGGTATATACTGCCCTCTAGAGTTGAAGTGCAGAATGTGCAAGGCACATTTTTTTGGCTGCAAAATTATGGTGGCCAAGCAACTTGCTGTACAACCTATTATTTTTCTTAAGATAGTCATCATTATTCTTATAAGGGTGTTTGCAGTGCCCTGTCCATATTGTAAGGAGTCAAACCAATTTAGAATGGTTAAGTTCTTAACTGGGGCTTGCCAATCGTTGCTCCCACCTTCAATAGATCCTATGGAGTGCTATAAGCTCTTTATCAGAGCTACGTCCCGCTGAAATGCTGCACATAGAAACTCCAAGCACCATGACCACTTCAAGTGTGGAGTGGAGAAGCCCTTTAAAGCGGCACTGTCACTCCCCTGAAAAATGTTTTGTTTTCTTTTAATAAATGTTTTGCTTAATCTGCATGCATACAATAAATACTTTAAACAACTGATGACAAAACGTAAGTAAAGTACAAGTCTGAGATATTATACATCACAGTCTGAGATATTATACATCACAATCAAGATGGGTCTAATGCCCTTGGGAAGAGGCTCCCCCTTTCGGTACAGTTGTACAGCACTAATGCACAGAAATGTTTTGGCATAAGGGGTAGGGGGTTGGGTAACTGCAAGCTGTGGTATAGGACCAGAAGCTTTGTGGGCCGTTAGTGGGGCCGTATAACCATGAAGGTATCCAGTCAGCTAATACATTGAGCCTTATATATATTAAGCTAGTTTATCCGCAGTAACACTATAGCAGTGAAAAGAAAAGGGGGGGGAAATGTATAAAGAAAAATAAAATAAAAAACCTTTAGAAACCGTAAGCAATAATCGTGATTTCCAACCTATACCTCTGGGCAAGAGGCAGTGTCCTCAATGGAGGTTGTGAGCACAGGGTGTACCCACAGGGGAGTCGTTCAGGTCTCTGCTAGAGTTGTTGCAGAAGCTCGGGCTGAGTGTAGTGTAAACTCCACGATCTTCGTGGGGTCCAGGTGGGAGAGGCTTGGTGCGGTAGTGGCAGGTGACAGAAGCAGTCCTAGCTAGTTCAGGAGTGTCTGTAGCTACTCATAGGTTTTTGCCCTATGGGTAGTCCCTTGGTGGGTAAATGAGAGCGAGCATGGAGTCCCCCACCTGTAGTGGACCATTCCTGCATGTAAAGATTGCAGGAGGGGTTTGTGTCCTGCGCCATGCGAGAGAGTTCCTTGTGAGGTCCGGGAAGAACTGTAGGGTGGTACCTTCAAATTGGATCGTTCTTATCCCGGACAGCCGCAAGAAGGAGAGCTTTGTCCTGAAGTGACTGTAACCTGATGAGATTGGAGGCTGCTGTCTTTGGCGCGGTCACCAGTTTCGCTATACGGAACATGCTGTCCAGCTTGGCCTGCATTGGCTGTAGTACCAGTGCAAGTAGCCATCGGATAAAGTGTGGTAGGTCAGTCAGGCCCACAGCCTCAGGTATGCCTCTAATTTTCACATTGTAGCGTCTCCACATTTTCCATAGACTCAACTATTTCGGAGGTGTGGAGCTGTTGAAGAACTTCCAGTTTCTTCTCCACTGAGGTAAGCCTGGTGCCAGTGGTGGTGGTGGTGGTTTCCAGCTGGGTGAGTCTGGAGTTTCCTCCTTCGAGCGAGGACTGGAGGCTGGCTATGTTCGAGGCTATATTTGCCTGCAGCTCCGCCAGCATGGATTTCAGGAGGCCTGCAGTGATTGGGTCTTTGTCCCCTGGGGCAGTCTGTGCAGATCTCGGCACAGTGTCTGTCGAGGTCCCTTCACCTGTGTCCGGGAAGAAGACGTATGTATATATATATATGTTGTTTTATCTCTTTACACATTTTTAATAAACACATTGTGCACAGTATTATGTGAGAGTATTTAACTTCTTCATTCAGGTCGTAGATGGATAATGTAGGAAGGGGAAAGAGGGAAGCAGCGCCTTGGGGATATCCTCGGGATCCAAATTGACACAAGTCAATTTGTAAAAAAAAAAAAAAGTGCACAAAGTACAAAATATGGTGTAGTATTTTGGAATAATTGGTGGAATACATAAGAGGAAACGCACTTGTAATTTTTTGGAGCTAATATTTAGTTCCAAATATATGTGCTCGGGTGATACAATCCCCGCCTATTGATTTTTTTGGATATCTTGCGTATTGTAACAGAAAAAGCAGCAATATAGTGTAGCATGTTAAATGGCAGCGACTTAAAGCAGTGGTTCCCAACCCAGTCCTCATGGACCACCAACAGTCCAGGTTTTCTCATTATCTCCATTTGAATAAAAAACGGAAATACATCAATCCTGAACTGTTGGTGGGCCATGAGGGCTGGGTTGGGGACCACTGACTTAAAGTAGTTAGGTGTGCGCTCACAATTTTTACAGTTGGTAGAGGCTTTTAATAGCTGGTGTAGTAGGAGCACCCCTGCCCAAGGTAGCAGCAAAATATCACCAGGATTGCACCATATATAAATATACATATTGCTGTCTGTTTAAAAGATCTTAAAAGAAAATATACTCACTAGTTGAGCGCAAAAGTGGTTTTGCTCCAATCCATATAGCATGGGTGGAATGTTCCCAGCCAAGGAATTTGATTTTAGAATGTTCTGGATAAAATCAGGAAGTTAAACCGGTTAAAAAAAATTAAAAAAAATTATGGAAAATAAGGTAACGCGTTTTGCCAAAAATACAGGCTTGAAAATATTCCTATTGGAAAAAAAAAACCACACACACAATTTATTATAATGTTTATTAAAATTACTATACATACACAAATTTAAAAAAAATATGTCTACATTCTGAGCACTGGAGATACTTGACTCGTGCGTTTTTCATACTGTTGTTGACTAATAATTTGCAGACACTTTCCGATGACCTAATGAAAAGAAAGAAACTCCATTACTGACCTGAACAGCGTTCAACTGAATCACATGATTTATAGTTGTCGAAGGCAGTGATGATTCAAGATTTGGGTAAAGTGCCTTTTTCAGCATGAAACAGAGATTTGTAATAGCCTTTCTGTCTTGGAAGGTGTGACTATATAGTCAGCATTATATCAGAACACTCAAACATCACAAATTCTCTGTAATCTGCTCACGTTAATTTCTTTAGTTTTGGTTTTTGTTTGTAATTTTTGTTTTTTTGTTTTATATGTGTATTCTTATTGTACAGCAGTGCTGTACATGTTGCAACTGATAATTAACAAATATTGGTAAAAGATGGACAACGGGGTGTTAATGCGGAATTATGGGATCTGTGTGTCAATGATAGACTGTTTCTCTTAAAAGTGAACACTTGGGTGATATATAATAGGCTTAATTCAGGCACTGGATAAACAAACACATTTATGAATCTAGATCAGGTTTAGGCAACCTTCAGCACTCCAGATGATGTGGACTACATCTCCCATGATGCTTTGTCAGTATTATGGCTGTAACAGCTATATGGGAGATATAGTCCACAACGATCCATGGCAAAAGGTTGCCTAACCCAGATCTAGCACAATTCTCTTCATTTTGGCCTTCCTTATGACTGATACCTACTTCCCTGGTGTCCTGGGGTAGTATTACACCATCATCCCACAGTCTAGCTGATGAGTAAAATGCCGAACTTTCTTCTTTCAGCCTGCAGAGTACAGAATCACAGACATCATTAATAAATGTAACAGAGCTCGGTGAGTAAATCAGTGAAACATCACTTACAAAAAGCTCTACAAAATAAATACCTATAACTTTACAGGTGTTAAGAGTTGGGAAAAATAGTATCACTGTCAAACCATCCTAATTAACACTGCCTCTACTGGCACAAATGTTAGCAATGCAAATTGTCTACAGCAGGACTGCAAATAGATTAAATAAATCAAACTATATTGTTGGAGGTCCCCAGGATCCCTATATAAACCTGAACAAACCCAACACATACACTGGGAATGGGGGGCAAACAAATTAAACATTGGTCCATGGGTTCAAGTTGTTCCCCTACTCTATGGAAGTAGATGCAGCGAGAGTCTGTAAACAAGTCAAGCAATGGTTCCCCGCAATCCTAACCCAATGTGTGGAGTAATACCAGTTACCCATACACCAGATATGGGTTAGAGAGTAATAGAAATAATACGTATGGAGCAGTACTTCCTAATACACCGGTCCAAAATAATGTCCCTCTATAATAATTTGTAAGACAGGTTTTACAAATTATAACAACTTGTTAAACCTGCCAACGCCATTGGTCTATGTGTCTTCTACTATAATAATGGACCATGTGCCAAATCCCTTAATCTCTTGTGGGCTCCCTTTAACTAAAAGAAATTGAATCCAGTACCCTATGTGACTCTGTCCGGTGTTTAGTGGATTACCCGATCAGTGTTCTCCTAATCATGATAATTAATTAAGATTCAGAAAACGTATGATGTAAAAATAGGAGGTAAACAATATTTTTTTTAAAAATCCAATCAATCTCTGAAAACATAAAAACACATAAAATTCCTACTTTTCCAGTGTGGATTTTATACTAGTTTCCTCTTGTGATGATTCCTTTCCCATCTGAGTGTGTTCTGATGTTCTGTTTGGGTCCACAAGACAGACTCTTGCGTTAGGCCACAGGAACAAGAAGTTCGGTGCAAATGACCTGCCACACTGAGAAACGAAAGACGGTAACAACTACCCCACAAACATACAAAAACATTTAAACTAAGTAAAACAGAGAACATGTACTAAAACTTGGAAATTAGCTTGCCATGTATATACAATGCATATATACAGGGTACAATGTGTTTTATATTGCACAGTAATACAAAAATAAATCTAGCCCATAAACTCTCTATACTGCAATGCTGGCTTTCACTCTGCAGTCTGCCAGTATTCAATTCGTTCCATCTACATTTATGCAGAGGGACAGTAAGCGTCGAATGTCATAGCTGCAAACTAACAAAGGGGAAAGGAATTCTCAGAGAACTGAGAACTGTAATTACTGTATGTGGACATTATGTCTACAAGCAAACAATTTTACTTTTTGGTGGCATATTTAGGAAGCTGCATTCCTAAAAGAAAATACCATCAAGCTTCTTATCAGTACCCAAAATTGAGTATTTAATCATGTTTATTTATCAATTCTTGCCACACATTTCAGAACCAGGCTAAACTATTGAAATATAAGTGATATCTTGTAATTTCAAAGGTAGATATCCCCCAATAATTTAAAAAAAATAAATGAAGGGAAAATTAAATGAAAAAAAGTAAATTGTGCACATTTCATTTTTTAAAGTATCCCTGAACTATATTGTTATCATTATAATAAAGAGCCAGTTGGTTCGTGTGAAAGCATTTTATCGATTGTGCATTGCAACCGTGATCACAGGGAGATTTCACAAAGTAAAATCTGACATAGGCAAGTTTCACAACATTCTTAGAAACAAAAATATGAACACTGACCATAAGATGTTTGGAGCTAATCCGTGATTTAACCGATTTAAACCTGATCAGCACAAGATATGTTTTTCAAGAAATCGAGAACTGCACAGAAATCATCAAAATTAAACATCTACACGCACACTTTCTCTTAAGAAATATCTCCTTCCCACATGCAAAATATAGTTCTACCATGGCAAAATATGTCAACAAAATCGCTTAATAGAAAAAAACAGAGAATAAGTTTACAGATTATAAGATGGCATTCAGCGGAAAAGATGGCTGACAGCAGCAGGTCACCAGAGGATACCATGTCACTAATGTCTTTTAACAAAACTGCTATTTATTCCAACATTTACATGCTACCCAGACATTAAAGGAACACTATAATGTTCGGAATACAAAGTAGCATTGTAGTGTCCCTCTGCCCCCTCGAACTCCCCAATGCAATTAAAGTTTTAAACACTCACCTTATTCCAATGGCGAGGTCACTCTGCGCTAGCTCTGTCTCCGCCTCCTCCGATGTCATCGCGAGGGGGAACCTAATGCAAAGCGTGAGGATGTCCAGCGTCGTTCATGAAGTTAAACTCTGTGAAACAGCAGGAAGCACCTCTATTGTCTGTCTGGTAGAAAGCCACTAGAGGCAGCCTTAATCCTTTAAACATCGAAAAACTGCAGTGTTTTACAATGCAGGGTTAAAGGGACAGGGAGACTGCGCCCAAACTACTTCAATGAGATGAAGTGGTCTGGGTGCCTGTAGTGTCCATTTAAAAAGAAAATGCCAAACAAACCCGCTAAATATTTTTTTTAAACAAAAAGTATTGGTTTGTCACGGGAATAAGAAGAAGAATAAATTCAGCAAAGAAATTAAGTGGGCCTGGGACCTCAGGCTGCATTGCAAATACAGAATACGCATAAATCTTACGTATAGATGTATTTATAAATGTATACATGAACAATATGTTACTGAACAATGTAACTCATCAGACTCTGTCAGTAGCTTGGGAAACACTGGCAAATCAATATGTTAATGAAGTATAGAACTTAACAAACAGGATTGTTCGCTAAAGTGAGAATTCAAGATGAATTCAAAGTGACTTAGAGAATGTTTCTAGTTTAGTTATTTCGACCTTAAAGGAACACTATAGTGACAGGAATTCAAACATGTATTCGTGTCACTATAGTGTTAAAAAAAACACAAAACATTTTAGGTTGCCAGCCCCGAATGCCCCCCAATAATAAAAAAAAAAACCTCACCTTTATTCGAGAGCCGCTCGGGTCCGCCACCGCTCCTCCTCCTCGACAATGTCAGCCAATCCAATGCTTACCCATAGGAAAGCATTGGGAGGCTATGGTACATGCGCGGCAAAACGCTGTGCTGTGCTAATCAGCATCTCATCATAGAAAATTTCCAGCTAAACATCGGTGCTGTATTTTCCCAGGGAGCATCTCTAGTGGCTGTCTGAGTGACAGGCTGTAGACACCAGAACAAATACATTAAGCTGTAGTTGTTCTGGTGACTATAGTGTCCCTTTAAATGTGCAGTTCACTTTACTGAATAACTCTGATACTTTTAGTGGCATAAATACACCATTTTTTGTAAACTGTGCTCACTCCTTGAGAATCAAAATTGAAAAATATCCATTCAATTTTTTTTACAAATAGAAACATAGAAACATAGAACGTGATGGCAGATAAGAACCATTCGGCCCATCTAGTCTTCCCAATACCTGAAAATATACCTATCAGAAGATATATTTTATACATTTTATATTAGCACAACTATGCAAAATGATTCTGGACCCTGGATTACATATAGTTATTTATTAATCTAAGTAAAAGATGAGATATAACGTCTATAAACATACCATGGCAAAGCTTTCTCCCCCATAAGAGCCGCCAATAACCAATGTGATCTTGGGTACAGTGGCGCAAGCGACAGCTGCCATCATCGATGCCTGAGCTTTTAATCGATTCGTTTGTTCTTCTGCCTAAAATAAATGTGAGAATAATAGTGACAATTATTTACTGACACAAATTCTAAGAAACATGAAACAAACTGAAACACAGCATATTACTAGAAGAATGAGTTAATGCGTTCTAATTTTAAAAATCCTCTTTACCTTTAATATGTTTGGTGGCAGTGATTCCCGAGAGATCGTATTCTGAAGGAACAGGAGAGGAATTTGGCGTTGGTTACACAGCTGCACAAAATGGCTGCCTTTTAAAGAGGCGTCATGAGTCAGTTCTCCATTATTTGCTAAAATTCCAACCAAATGTCTGAAGGAGAAAAAGACATTGTTTTTTTAGCCACTTTCTGGGACAGAATTCATGTAAAGTGCCCTTGAATGCTGTGATATGTGTGAAATCAAATAATATATTGAGGACATACTGATTAAAAATATAATGACCAAACCTAAACCACTGATTTGGAACTCTTAATTGTGATCAATTTAGATTAAAATATAATACAAGAAACCATTTTTGAAACGATGTTGGCCAATAACTTCATGTTGGATATCAAGTTCACTAAAAAATTATTTTCGTAAATGAATTTGAAGAGATTCACTCTTCAATGTGGATCCATGACAGATGACTTTGCCACAACATGGTTATGTAAAGAACATTTCTAATGCGAAATGTGGTTGGAATGCAGTTTACAAATACTTGCAGTGCGAAGGTTTGACTTAAGTGGCAAAGATGGTCTGATTTTAAACGGGTTGCCTTAAGATCTAAATATACCAATTATGTTTTAAAGCACATATCAAAAAACACAAATATTATATATTTACACCAGGATAACGTACAACAGAAATCAGGTATATGAGCTTTTTATAAAGTCAAAGTAAATCACTAAACATGGACTTTTTAGGAATCAACTAGGGAAGGTCAGATTTTGGGCCAAAACAGCAGAGTTAAGAATATATCTGAATTGGAGAATTTTTCCATGTAGGTTATTTTTGCCTAAAATTTGAAATTCCTGGTCAATTCATGATGATTCACAGTTTCGCTAATAACCCTGTTAACCCTGTAAGTAACAGGAATGTTTGGATCTGCACTTCAGCATCAATGGATACAATGTGACCATACACACACACTGCCCAATACCTACATCCATGCACTTCCTAATACATGCATCCATAAACACACACACTGCTTAATACATGCATCCATACACACATACTGCCTAATACCTACATCCTTAAACACACACTGCCTAATACAAGGCCCTGGGGAGTCAGCATAGCTAAACGGACAAGGGCACATGTATGAGTGTGGGGATGGTGCTAGTGATGGGCTATATGTGTTTAGGGGAGTAGTTATGGGTTTGTAGTGGGCAGGGATCATCTTACCTCAGTGCCTTTTGGGATTCTGGCCAGCAAACAACTTCCCCCCCACCCACCCATCCTAATTTTCTGTTTTTGTTCCGTCACAGTTAGCGGGGAGCGTGTCCTTGCCAACAGGGTTGGGGAGCAGATGGAATGTCAGGAGATGGACATGGTGGGTCTCAACCTCCCCTGCTCTGTAAGGTAAACTTTTAAGTTACCGAATAGGACGTGCCCACCGAGCAAAAAGCCGGCTGGTGGTAGAGCATTTAAGATGATGGGAATTTTTGGTTTGGACGAGGGGGGAGGCGAGACACCAGTGGGTAAAGTTTTGGTGCGTAGGCACCTGGTTAAGTTCGATGGCAAAGAAGGGTTATTTAAGTTGGAGGCTGTAGGGCAATAAGTGTAATTTATATGTTAATTATGGTATGTATATATAGTTATGTGTTTATTTATATTTGAATTAAAGGAAAAAGAATAAAGTTCGGATGAGTCTTACAGTTGTAAGTTTAATAAATGCTGTGGCCTGTTTCATCCAATATTCGTTGTTTGTCATTATTGGGGGGAGAATTGGGGTAGTCTCCTTACTCTTAGTCGCACCACATTCCCCGCTACATACATACATGCATCCATACACACATACTGCCTAATACCTACATCCTTAAACACACACTGCCTAATACATGCATCCATACACACATACTGCCTAATACCTACATCCATAATCACATACTGCCTAATACATATATTGTACATTGAATACATAATTTATCACTGTGATAAATTATGTATTTAATGCATTTTTGTGAATTTAATTTATAATAAGACTAGCACAGACGAGCACACACACATACTGACAGACACATTCACTCACTGACAGACACACACTGACAGGCAGACACACACTCACTGACAGATACACAGTCACTGACAGACACACACAGACACACACACTCACTGACACACACACACAGATACACACTCACTGACACTCACTAACACACTCACTCACTGACACACACACAGACAGACACTCACTGACATACATACTCACTCACTGACAGTCAAACACTTACACACTCACTGACACACACTTACACAATTTTATTTTTTAAGCCCATCCAGCCTCCCTACCTCCCTGGGGTCCAATGTGGGGCAGCTCGTCACTTCTCCTGCCCGCTGTTTAGTATGCCGGGGCTGGAATGACATCATATTCCGGTTCAAGGCATCACAAAGGGCGCGCAAAGGAGTAGGAGCCGCAGATAGATAATAAGACCCTCCACATAGTCAGGTCTCTGGTTGCGAAATTAGGCGATCCACAGATGTAGAGGGAAACGCCTGAACAGGGTCCCAGTCGCATGTTCTGGATTGTTGTTCAGTGAGATAGCTCAGTGGGCTAATTCATCCTCAGCAGAATCTGTTCAACCCTTGGGTTGCAGGTTCAAATCTGCCTTCTGAGGTAGATAAAATGAGTACCATTAAATTGGGTAATAGTAACAACCCCTGGACGTACTTGAAAACCAGAGTAATCTGAATGTGCCTTTCCTGGTTAAATACTTTGTTATTATTATTATTCAGGGCAGTTAAGCCCTGAGCCTTGACGAAGGTAGGCGATTCGGCAGATGAAGATATTTTATGTATAGTCCCGTTGTGTGTGACCACCAGAAACCAGGGTGATCTCCAGTGATATTCTACGCCCGGTGCTCTCAGGTGGCTAGTTACAGGATTCAGGGACTGTCGTCACTGTCGTGTGGAACAAATGAGGTCCTGATAGAAAGAGAGGCTTGATCCCGCAAAGGTTAGAGGCGCCTTGCCTTGGAATGCTGACATCAGGAGTCACATATCCTGTGAGGTTGAACAACGGACGATCACATCTCGGACTGTAGTAGAGGCAGCTCTGCCTGGTAATGGTAGACGACAGATCCCATCTAGGGTAAATTTCTTTGCGTGGTTTGGTGGTAGTATTGAGGCTACCAGTAGCCTCATATAGTGAGGAAGCTCATCAGGTGTGATTGTGTCGGGTGCACCTCCTAATCTTCAGGTGATAGTGACCAAGTGCTATATAGTGGAGAGAGAGAGCTTGTTGGTGAGCTTGTATAGTGAGTACTGAATCCTGTAGGGATGAAGTATTACTTTACTGAGAGGGTAGTGGATGCATGGAAAGGCCTTCCAGCTGAAGTGGTAGATGTTAACACAGTAAGTGAGTTTAAGCATGCGTGTGATAAGCGGTTCTGTGGTCTGCCGTTTCCGCCATTTTAGGAGGTGGCTGCCGCTGCAATAGTGCCCCTATATCTCTGGACCCTGAAGGTGGCTCCAGGGGTGGTTTCTTGGACCGTCAGCCCATGGTCGATGCCATGACATGTAGGTGATCAGCAGGGCATTCTTCTGCTCCGGATCTGCGAAAGGCTCAAATCCGCCTAATACCGCCTAGTCTAGGCTTGGAGAGGGTCTCCAGGCCCCGGACCTGCGTTTCTGCCATTTTGTCTTGGCTGATTGTAAGAATGGCATAGGTTACCCCTGTGTTGCTTACTCCGAGGAGTGTTAGGAGTGGGTAGTATTGATGAGGGGGATAGGCCTCAAAAAATGACGTCTGCTCCAGTTCGTGGTTAGTTACAGGATTCAAGGACTTTTGCCACTTCCGCCCCCCTATTAATTAATTATTTGCTTTAACAACCTACCCTTCAATGGAAGCAAATCCTGTCACCAAACAGGTTCCGTATTCCGTTTTAAATTCCAGAAATCTGCTGCCATCTATCAACCGGCTGAGGATCTGTAAGCAGAATATGACTGGTCAATAAATTTCATAATGGCTAAATGTATAAAATGTTCCAGTGTAATCACACCAACATTAAAGGGACATCCCACTGCCCAAGTACAAAACAAATAAAAATAACTGTTTAGTAGATACATCTAATTATGCATGTGTTCATTGGAGTAAATCTAAAAACAGCTTGCAAAAACTACAGTTCTCTTGTCTGCAGCCTTTGTAAGCCGTCCCTTTCTAACCCCGCCCAGACTTTCTGTGGCTGTCCAATCACAGACTTCCCAATGCAGCTCAACGAAAAGTCTTTGCAAGGCAGGTGCTCTGAGCAATTGCTGCCTCTTGGGTTTAGTTCAACTGAGCTAACCAATCCAGAAAGTTACAGTCTGAATGACAGCCAGGGGTGTAAGTAGAGGGTGTACATAAGAACTGGACAATTTGACATGAATTCTCAATGATATGCTAACTTCACAGGTTTTTCACTAGTGAATTCAAAGTGAATATTAAATTCAAGGTAAAAATAGCGAACTGGAAACATTCCCTAAGTCAGCAATGTTTCCAGTTTGGCTACTCTGGCCTTAAATTTGAAGTTCACTTTGAAATCACCATGAATTCTCACTTTTTGTAAGTAACCTGTAAACCTAGAGACCTGTCAAATTGCCCAGTTCTTTTCGCAGCTTGCCAATTCTAGACTAAAATTTTAATTATTTTGTTGTAGTTTTTTGTTTGGAATAAAATATACACAAAACTGAAATTCACCAAACCTGAAATTCACATTTTAAGTTAATATATATATATAGATATTACATATAACATATTTGTTTTTATACTGCCAGTAGGTATGCAACCACCATGATGATTTTTGGGGATACCAGTGAAAAGGCCCTACAATATATAAATTGCACCATGGCACAAGTCCAACACTGTCTCGGTTCTTTCAAATCCAGATTTAGTAACTTCCCAATATTGGGAGGGACTGGTATCTACAAGGTCAGTCTTCTGGAAGTTTCCAGGTAAAATAATATTAGTAACTCCTACGAACATTGCATTTTGGTAGTTAACCCCTTAAGGACTGGACTGTTTTTGCGATGTTGTACATTTGCGACCAGGCATATTTTTACACTTTTGTAGTGTTTGTGTTTGGCTGTACTTTCCGCTCTCTCATTTACTGTTCCCATACAAATTATATATTGTTTTTTTCAGGACAAAAGGGGCTTTCTTTACATACCATTATTTATATAATCTCATGTATTTTAATTTAAAAAAATTAAAAAAAAATGATGAAAAATTGAAAATACATGTTTTTTGACTTTTACTTGAAAAATCTTTTACTCATCTACAAAAGCGAATGAAAAAAACTGCTAAAAAGATTCAAAATTTTGTCCTGAGTTTAAAAATACCCAGTGTTTACGTGCTTTTTTTCAAAACATACGTCACTATTGATAAATTTAAAAAATGTAACACTATTATCTGTCATAAATCTCTGAATAACACCCCACATGTACATATTTTTTTTAAAGTAGACAACCCAGGGTATTCAATATGGGGTATGTCCAGTCTTTTTTAGTAGCCACTGGCCAAAGTAAGCATTCATATTTGTTTGTAGGGATCGACCGATTATCGGTCTGGCCGATATTATCGGCCAATATTTGGTATTTTCGGCAATATCGGTATCGGCCAATTCAGATACCGATATTGCCGATAATATATAACAGGACCGCCGGGCCCATTACAAGCCCGGCGGTCCTGTGGGGGCCAGCAGCAAGCGCTGATTTACCTTGCATGCAGCTCCTACAGCTCTCTGTGTAAATCTCGCGAGACCCGCGGCCGCAGAGCGTTGCCACGGGTTACCATGGCAACGCTCCGCGCGGCACTAAGAGCCGCGAGATTTACACAGGGATCTGTAGGAGCTGCATGCAAGGTAAATCAGTGCTTGCTGCTGCTGAGCCACCACTGTACTTAACAAGCCACTGGACCACCAGGGGATACTATATCCCCCTCCCTGGTAAGAAGCAGGGAGGGGGGACTAAACAAAAAAAACCAAACATTTAAATATTAAAAAAAAATATTAAAATAAAAATTACACAAATTACATCACTACACAAACACACACACACACAAACACATACTGCATTACATACACACTACACAAACACACACTACACAAACACACACTGGGGGGGAATAAACAAAAAAAACCATTTAAATATAAAAAAAAATATTAAAATAAAAAATTACACAAATTACATCACTACACAAACACACACACACACTACACAAACACACACTGCACACATACTGCATTACATACACACACACTGCATTACATACACACTACACAGGCACACACACTGCATTACATACACACACTACACAGACAGACACTACACACACACCACAAACACACACTGCACACATACTGCATTACAGACACACACTGCACACACTACACTGCACACACACTGCATTACATACACACTACACAAACACAGTACACATACTGCATTACATACACACACACTACACAGGCACACACACTGCATTACATACACACTACACAAACACACACTACACAAACACACACTGCACACATACTGCATTACAGACACACACTGCACACACTACACTGCACACACACTGCATTACATACACACACTGCATTACATACACACTACACAAACACAGTACACATACTGCATTACATACACACTACACAGACACACACACTGCATTACATACACACTACACAAACACACACTACACAAACACACACTGCATTACATACATACACACTACACAAACACACACACACTGCATTACATACACACAAAAACACACTGCATTATACACACACACTACATAAACACACTGCATTATATACACACTACACACACTGCATTATATACACACACTCTGCATCCACCACACACACACACACACACACACTACACAAACACACACAGTTCCCCTGTCTAAACACACTTCATCCACTACATGTGGCATGTATATTTTGTGCATTTACCTTTCGAATTAGTTTATTTATTCAAAATAGTAAATGTACAGAATATCGGCAAGATATCGGCTATCGGCCTGAAAGTTCGCAGATTACCGGTATCGGTATCGGCTCTAAAAAATCAGTATCGGTCGATCCCTATTTGTTTGTGTGTGAAAAAAGTAAAAAAACTAAATTGAATGCTAATTTTGGCCAGTGTTTGTGACTAAGTGGTTACTAAAAAAAGACTGGACATGCCCCATTTGCAATACCTTGGGTTGTCTTCTTTTGCAAATGGTATGCCATCATGGGGGTAATTCTCATTCCTGGGCTACCATACGCTCTCAAAGGCAACGTAACCAACCTGGCCATTTTCAATGTAAAAATATTTGACCCATATATTTGACCTTGTAACTTTCAAAAATGCTATAAAACCTGTACATGGGGGGTACTGTTTTACTCGGGAGACATCGCTGAACACAAATATTAGTGTTTAAAAACTGGAAAACGTATCACAACAATTATATCATCAGTAAAAGTGCTGTTTGTGTGTGAAAAATGCAAAAAAAGTAACTTTCACTGACAATATCATCGCTGTGATATGTTTTACTGTTTTGAATCACTAATATTTGTGTTCAGCGAAGTCTCCCGAGTAAAACAGTACCCCCCATGTACAGGTTTTAGGGTGTCGTAGAACGTTACAGGGTAAAATACAGTGCTAGCAAATTAAATTCTCTGGACTTTAGGCCTGGGTTGGCAGGCAGGTCCCTCAAATTGCAATCAATAAAATTACTTAATTATGTAAAATATTACATAAATACGCACGTAGAATTTAAATATATATGCATATTTATATATTTGAAGTCTACGTGTATATTTATATAATTATTTATGTAATTTTGTATATGGACATATGTATATTTTGTATTATTTTTATTTATTTATATATACATAGATATATATACAAATTCATTCTAAGTGTATTTTGATATAAATATATATATATTAACTTTAAAATACAGTTAGAATAAAATTTCATATAGATATATAATTTTTTTCAATTTTTATTATTTTAAAATTTTTTTTTATTTAAATTACTTATTATTTATATTTTATAATAATATATATATACACAATATATATATAGTTATTATATATATTATATATATATGTGTAATTTAATTATAAGTGTATTTTTATATTAATATAAGTACATATTAATATAAAAATACACTTAGTATGACATTATATATATGATATATAGACATATATTATATATATATAATATATGTCTATATATCATATATATATATATATATATATATATATACACACACACATATATAATTTTTTTTATTTTTAATTAACATTAACTTTATTTTTTTTTTATTTTACACTAGCAGGGAGACTGCCTGTCAGCACAGTCCCCCTGCAGGCAGACACATGGACACCTATTGTGACCATGTGATCACTGTGTTAAGCGATCACATGGCCACAGGGTTCCTAATCCAGTGTGGGGAGACTGTCTGGGCTGCAGGCAGTCTCCCCACACCGAGAGCACCACTGATAGCCGCCGGGGGAACGACGGCGATCAGGTAAGTAACTAGGACCGTTAGGACGGTTCAGGACCGTCAGCGGTCGGCAATGGGAAAATGACGGTCCTGAACCGTCCTCGGTCCTTAAGGGGTTAAAGGAACACTATAGGGTCAGGAACACAAACATGTATTCCTGACCCTTTAGTGCTTAGCCCCCCTATAAAAGTTTAAAACTCACCATATTTCAAGCGCTGTGTGGGTCCCCCTGCACTGACTCCGCCCCCTTTGTGACATCATCAAAATGGCCACTTTTAAGCCAATCCAATGCTTTTCCCATAGGGAAAGCATTGGATTGGCTAAAATCGGCAAAGGGGCATGACCACATGCCATTTTGGCCAATCAGGACCACCTCATAGAAATGCATTGAATCAATGCATCTCTATGAGGAAAATTCAGCGTCTCTATGCAGAGCGTGGGGATGCTGAACGTCAGGGCTGCTTTTTCGGCAGCACTGAGCCAGGAAGCACCTCTAATGGTCAGCGGAGGAGAGGCCACTTGGAGGTGTCCCAGGAGGCAATGTAAACACTGTCTTTTCTCTGAAAATGTAGTGTTTGCATGAAAAAAAGCCTGAAGGGAACTATTATGCTCACTAGAACAATTACCTTGAGCTGTTGTTGTTCTGGTGACTATAGTATCCCTTTAATTATACATACAATGGAATAAAGGAACAAGTACCAGTTTAACATCAAGAGTGCAACTATAATCCCGAGGAGCGAGTCCACGGAGTTCACGAGGATCATATAAGGGATCTTCATATTCTGTAGTTTCTTCAGGCAAAGGTTCAAAATTCAAGGTGGATATAATAAGTCGGGCGCGATGGTACGCTTCAGCTTCGGTCGCTGCATAATGATCGACGCACCCACTGACTCTGAAAAAGAAGACAGTGAGCATGGTGAGAGATGCAACATCGAGCCACCAGTTGGAATATGATATAACAAGCTAAAAGTATCATTTCTGGCTACACATTATGATACTGTTTTTATTATTGACAGAGGACAGTTTTGATTCTTGTGGAGGGCACTCAGCGCAGGCAAACGTAGGTCCAGGTGCCGGCAGAAAGAAATGGCTGCACCGAAAATTAACAGGACTATTTACTAAGGTGAGAATTGTTGGAAATTCATATTGAATTCAAAGTGAAGTTCAAATTTAAGGCCAAAATAGCTGAACTGGAAAAATACGCCAAGTCAGCTATGCTTTCAGGTTGGCTACTTTGGCCTTAAAGGGACACTATATCAAAGAATCTTGCTTAATAATGACCTGGGTACAGGTCCAAGCGTTGCGGAGCCATTAAAGCTGCTTTAAACGTATCACAGTGAGTCCCTGAGATTTATTTCTTATATTCCGTTAGCACCCTGTAATTTTTATGATTGAGTGCAAGCCTTTTTTTCTTTTTCAAGGGGACACTATAGTCATCAAAACAACTTGAGCCTAATTCTCTGCCATCTGGTATTTAAATCACTTTTGTTTCTGTTTATGCAGCCCTAGCCACACCTCCCCTGGCTGTAACTGACACAGCCTGCATCAAAACAAAATGGTTCCATTTGCAATCAGATGTAACGTACTTTAAAAGTTTGTATCTCCTGCTCTTTAAATTGAACTTTAATCACACCCAGGGAGCTCCTGTAGTGTCTAGCAAGCTATTAACAGATCATGAGATAAGCAAATCTAAATTAAACATAATTTGCTATAAAGGAAGATGACTCTTTACGGGAAGTGTTTAGGAAGGCTGTGCATGTTACTTGCAGGGAGGTGTGGCTATGGTGCATAAACAGCATGATTTAACTCATAGACAGCAGAGAATTGAGCAGTGAGACTGCAGGGGCATGATCTATACACCAAAACTGCTTCATTAAGCTAAAGTTGTTTTGGTGACAATAGTGTCCCTTTAAATTTTAAATTCCCCTTAAATTCACTTCATTGCTACTTTAGTGAACAACTCTGTTAATATAAAATATATCTAACTTTTTATATACATAACAAATCGAAGGATTTTGTCATTATCTGTATATCTCTTTTGATATGTCTGCCATGTTAGTGTAATGCCACATTACTGGAACATAAAATAGTGTTTGAGTGAAATACAAGTTTACCTAGAATGTAGTTTTGCTCCACCTAGATCTTCAGCGGAAACGTCCTCTCCAGTCGCAGCTTTAACCAGCGGCGGTCCAGCCAAAAATATTGTTCCGATACGGTCCACTATGATAGTTTCCTCAGCCATAGTAGGAATATAAGCCCCCCCGGCTGTACAAGATCCACACACGACAGCCACCTGCCTCAATGGTAACATTGTATAAATTATAATGAAGGGTCTGGGTACTTGTCCTGAAAGGTCCTTCTACCAAGCATTACAAGCATTACAAGTTAAATCAAAGAAAATATGAAAATATAGAATCATCTAGATAGGATTGAGAACTCCTACAGCTGCCAGAAAATGCTGTTACAAAGCAAGGTGACTCCATACATTATCCTCGTTTGAATGATCTCATTGCTAAATATGGAAATACTAGAGCTGACTGAACTGCTAATCCCTTCTACCAAAGTTATATGAGAGATGGAAATCACACTACATGTGGTTATTCCATCGCATAGCTCTGTTCAGCTCACAGACACCGAACTGGCCATCTACTAACAAGGAAAATCCGTGGCCAGAAAATAACGTTGACATATATATATATATATATATATATATATATAAACTTAACTAAGTAAATATTCCTTCTAGTATTAGCTGAAAATTATGCAGACAATATGAAACCAGATCTTACTATGTGTAAATATGCTTACACAGCTCATGTACAGTCCCTACCTTGGCTTCCTATAAAATATAGAGCTCAATTTAAAATTCTGGTTCTTGCTTTCAAATCTCTACATAATGCTGCTCCCACCTATCTATCCTCCCTTTTACACAAGTATGTCCCGTTTAGGCCCTTACGATCTGCTGAAGACTTTCGTCTATCTTCTGTCCGTACTCCCACCTCTGATGCTTGCCTTCAAGATTTCTCGAGGGCTGCACCGTTCCTGTGGAACTCGCTTCCCTCCTCCGTTAGATGCTCACCCAGTCTCCACTCCTTCAAAAAAATCGTTAAAAACCCACTTCTTCATAAAAGCGTATCAATTAAACTGTTAATAGCTCCTGACTAATTCCTCTTCTGCAACTGTCACTAGTCTAATACTATCCTTACCTTTTTGTGTCACTTTACCCCACTCCTGCTAGCATGTAAGCTCATTGAGCAGGGCCCTCAACCCCTCTGTTCCTGTGTGTCCAACTTGTCTGGTTACAACTGCATGTCTGTTCGTCCACCCATTGTAAAGCGCTGCAGAATTTGACGGCGCTCTATAAATATCATAATAATAATAATAATAATGTATAACATTATAAGATTATATATATTTATATTTTTATTTTTTTTCTGGTAGAGTTGGGCAAGAGTATGTTTGTTCATTGATGAGGTTTTTGGAAAATTCAATATATTTTTCTAGACCGCGTCCGTGTTGCACAAAGACCATATTACTCAAATCACACAGCGGGTATTAATGCACTTTAATTCCTCAAATATAATATATATGTAGGACAAAATATGTAATCATGTCGGATTGAATTAATGGATATGATGGTCCAAAGAATTGTATAATACCTTTTTCTAGCATGTAAATGTAAACTTATTATCATACTGAAACCGGTATGTCTGGCAATTGTATCACAAGAAAACTGGCCTAGCGTGTCCTAGCAGAGAGAGGTTTCCATTTTCATGTATCTGGCAACAACCATAGTTGAGATAACACTGAAACTGGGTTGTATGATTCTTTGGACTCTCAATGAAGATACATTTTTCTATTAAAACGCTTTTTAAAACATGAACAATGATAAGATGCTACAATTCTTATGAATGAAGTTTGGATGGCTGTTATCACATTAGATAAAAGGTGATTGGACGTGTGTTTACTATAACACGTTGGTGGCAGAAGTGGGATGTACCTGTGGTATTTTTAAAGCTGACATGATGGCTTCATTGTAGAAAGTTCTCCCACCATGTTCCTTATCAGGAAACAGCTCTGCCTGTTAATTTAACACATAAAATATCATAAATATCACTATTTACAACATTAATGGTATGTAACATAATCGGCACAAGGACAGCTACCTGCAGAGGTAAGAATGCCCCACCACTATCCACCAGGTACACAGTGGGCAGCCGGTTCTGGATGGCGATTTCTTGAACTCTTAGCTGTTTTTTAACGGATATTGGATAGGCAGTCCCTCCTTTAACAGTTGCATCATTGGCAATAAACGCACACCATATTCCACAAATTTTACCAACTCCTACAAAAAATAATCACACATTAACAGCAATGCAGTGCCCTTATGTAATCTCTTATAAAACAGGTCTCCTATACCATAACATGGTAAATAACATGCAAGGTTATTTACTAAAATGAGAATTGTCGGGAACTCAAACTGAAGTCCAAAGTAGCTGGACTAGAAGCATTGCTTCCTTGAAGAATTTTCCAGTTCATCTATATTGGTCTTAAAGGAACACTAAAGCATTCGGAATACAAACATATATTCCTATTGCTATAGTTTTAATATTTGTATTTCGATGTCCCATCCACCATCTGAGGGTTTGAAATGGGAGAATTACTTACCTTTTAGCCCTCACCACGCCAGTCTCCACGGTGCTGCTTGGCCTCTTTGGCTGAGATCATTAATGTTAATGATCTCAGCCAACCCAATGCTTCTTCCTAGGTAAACATTGGGAATGTAGTGTGCATGCGCAGCAAAACATAATGCTGCGCTAATCAAATGGTCTCTGTCTGACCATCTGATTGAATAGCTATCAGGGCAGAAGTGCCTATAGCGGCTGTCAGAGAGACAGCCCCTAGACTCTTGTTATCCCTGCAGAGTAAAAAATACAGGGGCATGGCACTCAGAACACTTAATTAGTATGAAGTTCTCTGCGTGCCTATAGAGTCCCTATAATTTTCAAATTCACGTTAAATTCCTTAAAACTCCCACTTTAGTGCATAACCCAAAATGTATTTATCCAGGAATGGTATATTTAAATTTTGTCATTTTAAAACACATTCTAATGTCTTGATGATATTTTACTCAACTTAATTGTTTTAATTGTTTTTGTTGTTTATTACACTACATTTAAAGAAAAAAAAAGAAAAAAAAACTCAGATAATGCTGTGCCCGTCCAAACAATTCCTGCAGTAATGTATTAACGGCTCTCTGCCTTAAAACTGTTCTACACTTACCGAAGCAACATTGTGGATAAGAGGTTATTTGCACTAACCCCCTTCCCCCTCCCACCCCCTCCCATGCCTGGTTTAAATGCATTACAACATCGCTACAGGCAGTAGGTGCTGGAATTAAACATTATACGTAACATGGAAGATTCTTATAATTGCTGGAGTTTGGAACTGTGTCTGCATGGCTTGTAGGTAAATGCTATATAATGACACTGCCATTTAATAGTTCTCAAAAAAATGTGTAATAATGCATATTATATAAATATATTATCATTTCATCCCAGCAGAGAACTTTTACTTGGAATTATTTTCTTTTGGTTTTAACCATACCAAAACATAATGTGGCTTTGACCCACCACCCAGAAAACTTTCTTTGGGCACCCCTGTCGTCTTGCGTCACGCTTTACACTGGGTCAAAATCAGGTTCTTTTTCTCATTTTAGTTTTGTTGTTTTATATTTTTATTGTGCTGTTCACGACCATACAAACAGTCAGAACATTGGCATTTACATAGAACAATACCAAATCTATTTTACAAGATGCCAGTCCAGCAGGCAGCATGATGCGTGGAGTTATGGAAGGAATGCCCAAGCAGGCGCCTACTCTTATGGCACTTTAGAAGTAGAAGCGCATGAGCTATCATTCGCACAAGTAGGTGCTGTCAAGTTAAGTGTGTTTTAAACGTATACCCTCAGCCCCCGTCGCCCCACTAAACATTTCTGTAATGTTCACGGAGGTGAGGACAGAAAATGAACAGCTTCTCTTTAAAATACAAATTTCCTCAATGTTTTACCAGAAGTTCATTGTATTGAAACATGTCCTTGGATATAGATATAGACCCATTGTACAGTGCTACGGAATCTGATGGCGCTATATAAATAATAAAATAATAATAATAATAGATGTTATTTTAAACCAACTCAATGGAATTCGGTTATACAGCTGGTATGGTAACAGACTGTCTTACTATCCTTCCAAATTACATTAAACCCCGAGAGGACATTCTATGAAAGAACATTTCAAAACTGAAGACTGTTGTTTTTCTCTCACCTGTCAGACAACCTGCCGAGGGTACATCTCCATACGGTAATCCCAGGCCGGAAAACGGAGAAAGTTCTAAAAACATTTCATCATCTAGGAGCATTCTCAGTCTCTCTCGTACCAGGACCTTTTTATTCCGCTGGGTATGTCGCAGGACGCCATCCTCACCGCCCCCCAACTTTACTTTTTCTAATAATTCTACATACCTGAAGAGAAAAAAAAGTTATAATTAGAAAATAAATATATATATATGCATAAAATGCATAATAGTGAAGTATTTCAAAGACAACACAATAGCAAATATACAACTACAAATAAGGTGCACTGTGTCTTTAAGCCATAAATTTCAAAAAGTGCCACAAGTGCTAAATATGATAAAGTGCAAAATAATATAAAGTGCACTCTGTGTATAGTGAAAAAAATCACAACAAATATTTCATACATACATCTGAGGGTCTTCGCCAAATAACAAACCATGCATGTAAGGGAGAAACACGTTGAAAAAACAATAATAGTGTAAATCCGTTTAAAAACAATATCAAAATTAAAAAAGGGGGGGACGTGCACTCACAAAGGTAGAGCAGGCTTTAACCAACTTATTCCCGTATGTCCCACTTCGGAAGGCGTCAACACCCCCGAGTGGTAAGGAGCCTTCCGAATTGGAACATACGGGAATAAGGAATAAGGGTTACCTGTACTTGTGTTGGATTGTGCAATAAATTTGTGAAGAGGATCTTTGGCGTCCGCGCAGTTATTACCCAAGAAGGGAATATTTTGAAGAGGTTGTTACAGTTAGAGAAGGCTTCAACCTGCTCTACCTTTGTGAGTGCACCTCCCCCCCCCTTTTTAATGTTGATATTGTTTTTAAATGGATTCACACTATTATTGTTTTTCAAAGTGTTTCTCCGTTACATGTATGGTTTGTTATTTGGCGAAGACCCTCAGATGTATGTATGAAATATTTGTTGTGATTTTTTTTCACTATACACAGAGTGCACTTTATATTATTTTGCACTTTATCATATTTAGCACTTGTGGCACTTTTTGAAATTTATGTTTTAAAGACACAGCGCACCTTATTTGTAGTTATATATTGTGTAAGTGGTTTCTGGAGCTTTTCACTTTTTTGTTGCAGCTTTTTGTATGTAATAATTTCTGGCATATTACTGTTTTTAGACTTTTTATTACTAGCGCCTTTATTCTACTTGTTTCTTTGTATACAATAGCAAATATGACAGAAATACACTTTAATCTATCAGGTAATTTATAGGACCCCTAAAAAAAATGGGGGTTTGACATACTACTCTCTGCTTTCTAACCGAGTGAGGGCAAAATTATGTTATCTTACATTGGTCTCTGTCTCGCCCACATGAGGACAGATGATGGTTTAATTGTCTAGTTGGGTAGGTTCTGATATACTCCTTATTCTCATATAAAATGTACCATTGATGTGGAGTTAACGCATACAGAAGGAAATCCACAAAGCTATTGTTCAGAAATGAGCACATTGAGACCCCCAGGGATCCTACAGGCAAAGTGATCATTATCTTTTTTTTTTACATGCAGACTGATTGCTAAAGAGAGCAAACCAGAATATGCCTCAGTTTCTGAATTTAAATGATTCCGGTATAGGGGAAAAATAAAATGTCAACATATTTTTTTACTCATCTTTACCGTAATCGTCTGGCAGACAATTAGCAACACAAAGAACTGCCAACTTTCATATATAAACAAAACTTAAAGGGAAAAAGTCGGGAATTGATCAAAGAATTTCACATTTTACACCAAAATAGCCAAACTTGAAAAAATAGCTGAAATGCTGATTTTTTTTATTTATTTAATTTTTCAGTTCAGCTGTCTTGGTATAAAATTTACAGCAAAATTCCTGACAATTTGTGGTTTTGTTCTCTAACAAAAAATGAAAACTAAAACAGTCACTCGGGCTACAGGTGAGTTAATTTTGTACCAAATCCATCATTTTGGCCTACATGGTGCCTGTAGCGGAGTTGGTGAATTTGACCAAATTAGCTGATTTTGGTCTACATTTTGTAGTTTAGGTTGCAATTCACCATAATTCAATCTTAAACCTCTGTGGGGTTTATTCACTGAACATTGGATTGTAGTGAAATGATGCAATGATTCTCACAGAGTAAAGGAGTGGAATCGTTTTTGTCCTTCCTGGTCGAACTATTGATTGTTCTATGTATATGCAATTACTTTTAACAAGTGGCATCATTTATTTTAAAAAACAAAACAAAAAAAAAACACTAACAAATTATGTCGCATTCAACATGTAGACAAACACATATTAAAAAAAAAAACTCAACAGAAACGTTGGGCAAAGTTCTATATGAGGCGTAATCACCATGGAAACCAATACAATTTCCAAGGTTATGTATTGTCTATATACTAATTTTCTGGTATCAGGGCAGCGTTGTGGAACCTGCTGGTGCTATATAAATAATCAGATAATATTTTACTAAATTGAGAATTCAAAGTGAATTTCAAATTTAATGCTGAAAGGAGTGTCTAAAACTAAAAGCATCACCAACTTACAAGTTTGGCTACTTTAACCTCAAATTTGAAATTCATTTGGAAATCACCTTGAATTCTCACTTTAGTTAATAAAACTGCTAATATTTGTTATTGTTTAAATTGCTTTCTTAGTTTTGAAACACAGGACTCTGTTTACATGATACATTGTTACTGCTTGCACACACACAGTTACTGTAGCAATTGGTGGAGTTTATTATTACAGAATGACCGTAACCACTGCCAGACAGATCCCAGGGTGGGGGCACAATGCCCACTGCCAGGAAATTGGCATCTCACTGTGTTTCTTGATCTGGTAGCCCCATGCCACTGCCAGACCGGTGGCAGGCTCAGGGCACAATGCCCACTGCCAGGAAATTGGCATCTCACTGGGTTTCTTGATCTGGTAGCCCCATGCCACTACCAGACAGGTGCCAGGGTCAGGGCACAATGCCCAATGCCAGGAAATTGGCATCTCACTGTGTTTCTTGATCTGGTAGCCCCATGCCACTGCCAGACAGGTGGTAAGGTCAGGGCACAATGCCCACTGCCAGGAAATTGGCATCTCACTGGGTTTCTTGATCTGGTAGCCCCATGCCACTGCCAGACAGGTGGTAAGGTCAGGGCACAATGCCCACTGCCAGGAAATTGGCATCTTACTGGGTTTCTTGATCTGGTAGCCCCATGACTTACCTTTGTGTGCATCCCTCATTGTTCCTAGTGTTGGCTTCATACACATGTCTATAGATTGGCAGAATGTCCCCATTAATCACTGGGTAGGACTGGGCACCTCTCCTGTGCCACCCTGCTGATTTAGTGCTAAGCTTAGAGCAGAGGGTGCAGCTGGAGGGCAATACATGGGCAGACCTTCCAATGATCTGCAGCCTCTGCAGTCCCCCCAGTACTGCCATGGATTGTCCTCTGTGCCCTGAAAATGCCCTACCCTGTAGGTGCCAAGATATGACCTGCAGAGCAAAGTCTCCACTCCAGCACTCAGGAGGGAAATGCAGAGTTCTCACGTAAGAACAGCACTTTCGACAGAAAGAGAAACAAAGCTGTGTGCTTACTGTAACAGATTCAACAGAACTACATGCCTGCCTACTATACCACTGATTTGTTGTAATTCACATCGTAGCCTCTAGATGGCCAACCCTCTGTTGTTGTTCCAAAGGAAACTAGTATTGAAGAAGTAAATTGATACAAACTAAAATCTATGGTAAACAATGTTTTTTTGTTGTTGTCATGTTTAGCAATATAAAAATATTTCAACACTTGGGGTTATGTCATCCCCTGCTTAATATAGGAGAAATTTGCGGGATTAATTTCACACTAAACAAATTGAACACTTTATTATATTTATATTTTGTTTTTTTAACAGTTATATTGCATAAATGTATTCTGCAGTACTAGATACAGACAGAGAACATGATTTATGAAAGAGAGCTACAAGTGAAAGAATGTCCTTGACATTTGTAGGAGATTAAAATAAATTTGCAATTAACGTTGGAGATAAATATATTTAAAAAAAACATTTTTTTTCCCCATGTCTTTATTTTTTCTGGGTGGGTATATTTGTAATACATTACACGATGGGGGTTATTTCCTGCCTATAATACCATAATATTATGATGACCATTTATTCTAGCAAACAGAAACAAACCAATAGAACAGGTTTAACAAGTATTACCAACAATCTTATATTCTAACAGGCAATGGGGCAGAGGGAAAAAGGTGACAAATACCTCGGTTAGAAAATATAAGGTATTGGCTTTAATACTATTCCAAGACACAAACCAATACACCAATACAATAAAAGTACATGAAGTCTGATACTTATATTGAGTTTCAATTGTATCCATTTTGTTTCCATTTTCAGTAATAAGGGTCTATCTCCATCACTTCTACATTTTGGAAACCACCCTTATAGTCTCTGTATATAGATCAATGGTAATAACCCTAAATTCTAGCCATCCTTATATTGTAATATAAAATATATAGATATGTGATATAAACTACTCTCAGAGTTAAAAGCATCGTCGCACGTTATTGATTAAATTCATTTATTGTGAGAAGATAATCGAAGCTTCACTAATATCCCATCAGTGAGGACCCACTAAAATGACAAATTTTAGGTCCCAACCCTGTGGAAAGGACGGTTTACTGTAAAGTAGAATTCCTATCCTTTCTTTTTTAGAATCCCTCCTTGTTTTTCTGGACTGTCCTCCTTAAACACATAACAAACCACACACACAGTTATTTACTAAACTGAGAATTGCCAGGAATATAAAGTGAATTTAAAATTCAAGGCCAAAGTAGCCAAACTATAAGCATTTCTGACTTGGAGAATGTTTCCAGTCTAACTACTTTGGCCTTAAATGGAAATTAACTTTGAATTCCAAAGAATTCTCACTTCAGTAAATAAACCGGACATCTTATACAGGTGAGTGAAACAGCTCTACAGTTTAAAAGTAGAAATATACACTAATGTAATGTACCAAAATAAATATTATTTTTTTAATTTTCTGTCGGTACTAAATCAGCTCTCACCTTTGCATTTTCCTCTTTTGGCTGACGTTACGGTAGCATTTTGATATTCACATTGGTGTTAGCCGTTTTTGGTATTTTTGTAGCCCTGGAAATCTTTTCATTAAAATCGCTTTCTTTATTTATATTTATTTTTTTAACCTACTCACAGAAAATAAACTTTGAAAGTATTTGAATCTTGCATGGTTAATGTTTTGAGTTTTTTTTTATCATTAGTTTTTATCTTGTCACTCTTTTGTCAATAAAAGAATAAAATAATCGCATGCAGTAAATTTTGATTGCATTTCATCCTGTCATGTGTGAAATGTCCACATTATCTAACAGGCTCCAGAGAGGACAAAGACTGGAATGCGCAGGAAGCATATTTCAATAAAAAAAATTTTTTTTCATTCAACTTACATTTTATTACGTTTTACATAGGATCAGAAAATAGTAAGCATTTGAGTTAGTACATTTCACCTTAAACAATACATTCCATTTTATACTAACATTGCAGTTGTTACATTTGTTACAGAACATATAATTCACAGATTATTACTCATTGTCCTTTACAAGCCCCCATCCCAGGCTATCAAATACAAAGTAAAGAAGGTGGGTATCAATCCACTATTAAAGGGACTCTCCAGTGCCAGGGAAACATATCCATTTTCCTGGCACTGCAGGACCCTCTAGTGCCCCTCTCCCTCCCACCCCCTATCCCAAGTTGCTGAAGGGGGTAAAAATTAAAATTTCGGCAACGCTAGAGTGTAAGGACGTCCAGCGTCGTATAACACACTTTTCGTGTTCTATGAAAACAGAAGTGCCCTCTAGTGGCTGTCTAGTAGACAGCCGCCACGAGAGGAGGACTTAACCCTGCAAGGTAAATATTGCAGTTTATGAAAACTGCAATAATTACACTTGCAGGGTTAAGGGTAGTAGGAGTTGGCACCCAAACCATTCCAATGGGCAGAATGGTCTGGGTGCCTGGAGTGTCCCTTTAAGTCCCCAGTGATGGCTGCAGTTCCCCCAGAGTTTTCTTTTGGTTTTTTCTTTTTATGTCAAAAGATAATCTGACCACATTTTTCCCATTTGGAGTTGATTTAGAGCCATTTGCTCGTAGCCTACAGTGTTCGTGACATTCTGTAATGGATGGGAATTTGCCCTTGTAAATTGGGCAGAGAGATCAAAGGTTGCGACATCATCTGCACACAGATTAAGCTTATGCTCTCTGTAACCCACCCGTATCCCTAGAATATTTCTATTTTGTCTAATTGCAATGGTGAGTGGTTCCAGGGCAAGTACGCAAAGCAACGACGACAAAGGACAACCCTGTTGAGTGCCATTTGTGATGTAGAATGGATCGAACTTGAATTCCTAGATTTAGAACTGTAGCTGACAGAGAACTATAAAGTGCCTTAATGGCTGTCAAGAAATCATGTGGGTATCCAAATCTGCACAAGGTTTCTTCAAGGAACCGCCAGTTCAGTCTATAAAACGATTTTTCTTCATCTAGTGAAACCAGCCATCCATCTCCACCATTTCACTGCAAGTCTCACATAATATCTAACACTTTCCTGGTGTTGTCAGCCGGTTCCCAGTCTTCCATAAAGCCTACCTGGCCATCCACTATCAGTAATGGCAACATGGGCTTTAGTCTCTCTGCAGAGGCTGCTCTCTAATTAGGTGGTTTAGGCAGCCGCCTAAGGCCTCACGCTGGCTGGGGCCTCGCGGCCGCCTAAACCACCTGTGGTCAGACTGTGTCAGGACCTGACACCAGGAGGGGGCCCAGCGGCTTGCCCGGTATGCCACCAGGTGGGAGGCCCCTCCTGACTGCCCGGCCAGCCACCGCAGACACCAGTCTGCAGCTCCGCAGTGAGCAGAGCTGCAGACCATGTGTCTCGCGAGAATTGGCCAATCAGAGCCTTGCCGCGGGTTACCACGGCAACGCTCTTATGGTCTCACAAGATTACATGGTCTGCAGCTCTGCGGAGCTGCAGACCGGAAGCAATGGCCACCGGACCACCAGGGAGCTCACTGGACCACCAGGGAAGAAAAGGTAGGTTCTCTCTCACCCCCTCTCACCATCACCCCCCCTCACCACCCTCAGCCTCACCACCCCCACCACCCTCCGCCTCTGCCACCCACCACCTGAGCCTCACCCCACCCCACCAACCTCATCACCCCACCACCACCCTCAGCCTCACCACCACCCTCCCACCACCCTCAGCCTCAGCACCCCACCGCCCTCAGCCTCAGCCCCTCACCCTCACCACCCCACCACCCTCAGCCTCACCACCCCCCAGCCTCCTGCATGCCCACCACCCTCAGCCTCTCCTCCACACTCTCCTCCCGCACCCACCCTCCCAGCCTCCACCCACCACCCTCAGCCTCACCACCCCCACCCACCCTCCTGCCCCCAGCCTCACCACCACCCCACCACCTCCCCGCTCCCCCCCCACCACCCCACCACCCTCCCACTCCAGCTTCGCTCCCCCACCACCTCCGGCCCCCCACCACCCTCAGCCCGCTCTCCCCCACCGCCCCTCGGCTTCCGCTCCCCCACCCCCTCAGCCCACCACCCTCAGCTTCACTCCCCCACCGCCCTCAGCTTCACTCCCCCGCCACCCTCAGCTTCACTCCCCCCCACCCTCAGCTTCCGCTCCCCCCACCACCCTCGGCTTCACTCTCCCCACCACCCTCAGCTTCACTCCCCCCACCACCCTCACCCTCGCTTCGCTCCCCCCACCACCCTCAGCCAGGCTCTCCGCCCCCACCCCCTCAGCTGCTCCCCCCACCACCCCTCAGCCAGCCCGCACCACTTACTTAGCCCTCACCCCGTCAGCCTCACCCCTCCCAGCGTCAGCTCACCCCCTCACCCCTCAGCTTCCCCCCTCGGCTCCCCACCACTTTGCTCCCCACCACCCTCAGCTTCACGCTCCCCACCACCCTCAGCATCCCCCCACACCACCCTCAGCCTCTCCTCCCCACACCACCCCACTTAACCCCACACCACCCTCAGCCCTCCACACCCCCACACACCGTCCAGCCCTCACCCCCCACCGTCAGCCTCACCCCACCACCCTCAGCTTCACTCCCCACCATCCTCCAATGGCCTCTCCTCCCCCACCACCCTCAGCATCACACCCCTCAGCATCACCCCATCACCCTCAGCATCCACCACCCTCAGCATCACCTCCCACCACCACCCTCAGTCACATCCTCCCCACCACCCTCAGGCGTCCCCCACTCCCCCACCACCCTCAGGCGTCCTCCCCCACCGCCCTCAGCATCCCGCCCCCCCCCCACCACCCTCAACATCACCCTCCCCTCACCACCCTCAGCATCCCGCCCCCCCACCACCACCCTCAGCATCACCCCACCCCACTCTCACCCTCTCAGCATCACCTCACCACCACCCCCACCCTTCACCACTCTCAGCATCACCCCCCACCACCTCAGCATCACCCCCTCATGACCCTCACCATCAGCCCCCCTCACCATCAACATCAACACCCCTCCCTCCCATCTCTCATCTCCGCACCCCCCCCCTCTCCATTTACCATTACCCTCTCCCCTCCCATCACCCCACCATCACCTCCCTCTCCACCACCCCATACCTGGCTTACGCACCTTCCCCCCCATATTACCATTACCCCCTCTCCCTTTACCATCACCCCCACACTATCACCTCCCTGTCACCACCACCCCCTCTCACCATCCCCCCATACACACAACACACTTCAAGCAGTTACCCCATACACATAGGGTCTCAGACAAAAATGCAAACATGCTCACAGAAACATACACACACACAAGGATACTCTCTGTCAGACACACTCTCAGGCAAATACACAGGTAAACTGTGCATCAATGTGTGTATGTGACACTTTTTTGTTAGTGGGGCCTCATGTTTGAGTTTCGCCTAAGGCCTCATAAAGTCTAGAGCCGCCTCTGTCTCTCTGCATATATTTGTGCAAATATCTTCGCATCCAAGTTGAGTAAGGAAATGGGTGTGAAGTTTTGGCATTGAGTTGGAGACAAGTAATTACATGAGCCAAAATACAGAGCAACAACCATAGTACACATCAGTCCCAATAAATACAGTAAAAAAAAATTAAAAAAAATAAAAATTTTTTACCTGTGCTCTTTTCCCAAATCCCTATGCATATTTAAACAAATTGAGGTTATTTAGTTACTCCAATGGACATTAGAGGGATGCCATGTCAAGGCAAACCTCTTAGGTGGGTCCTACACTGACTAATCACCTTACTTCCTTGAGCTTCCGGCAAAACAATCTCTAGTGAGACAGAGAGGGGTATTTTTTCTAAACCCCTACATACTTATTAACCCTTAATAGGGGGCGTGGTCAGAAGTCGGACGCCGAGTGTGATGGCGCGTACTAGCTAAGCTCGGACGGTTCCGACGGCACTACGGTCTCAACTAGCGGCTGAGGGAAAGAAAATAAGGCCGATCCTTACTGGACCCTGCCCGGACCCAGACTCGGACCCTGACCTTACCCTGACCCTTGCATGGGAAAGCGAACGGTTGTCAAATTGTCGGCGGTCAAGATAGCATTCAAGATAGCGTTCAAAGAGAGAGGTAGAAACAAGTAATATTGAATATAGGTAAGCATAATTGTATAATTGTGCTTCCCCGCAGCCGACTCATATGTGAGCCATATTGGATTTGAGTCATTCGAGTCACTATGTCGGCTTATCAAGGGAAAAAAGTGACAGAAGCTAAAGATAAATCAGCTTTCTTTGCGCCAAGAGCAAAACAAGTTGAGCAATCCGAAAGTGCTGATCCTAATATGGAGACAGAAGCAGCATGTAACGAGGAGGGGGAGCTTGTGGATGCTCCAATCACTCAGCGAATGTTACAAGCTATGCTGGACAACGCGGTCACTAAAATGCAAAACACGGTGACGGATGCAATTGCTGATATGAAAAAAAATATTACAGAGCTGTCTACCCGAACACAATGCTTGGAGAATAAAAAGGAAGCCCCGCACACTGTACATAGCGAAATGAGTGAGCGTATAAATCGACTTGAAGAGAAAATAGCTTCTCAGGAATCCAAAATCATGGATATTGAAGATAGATCACGCCGCAATAATATTCGTTTGAGAGGTGTGCCAGAAGAGGTAAGCGGTCAGGAATTGGTAACTTACGTTACTGAGATGCTTCAAGCATTATTGCCAGAAATACCGACTGAGAAGCTGTTATTAGACCGAATACACAGAGTACCAAAACCACAACAATTACCTGCCTCTACTCCAAGAGACATTATTATGAAGCTGCATGTCTTTCATATTAAGGAACAGATCCTCCGGGCCAACAGGAACAATAAAGAAACAAAAATAAACTTTAAGACGGCGAAGATTATACAAAAGCACGGTAGACCAGCTTCGACATAATAATATTCCTTACCGCTGGGGGTATCCTGCTAAATTGATCATTAGAAAAGAAGGAGAAATCACTACAATAACTACCCCGGCAGAAGGGCTAGAGGTGTTACGGAAATGGGATATCCCTTTAAGTGGAATAAATACTACTTCGTTAAGCAAGCAGCCTCCTGAAGACGGCCGCTCACTTAGATCTAAGAAAGTCTTCCCGAAAGAAGACTAAGAACTAAGGATTAAGGAAACCAGAAACTTTAAACCGCAAGTTACCGCAAGCTACCAGAATTTGGTCTTGTTGTTCTTATTATTGCTATTATTATTATTATTATTTTTATTGTTTTTGCTAAACATTTCTGCAATAAGTGAATACTTTGACCCTATGATGTTATATTATGCTAACTATGATATTAGGATATCAGTATACGGTTAACGGTTAAATTATTGGGTGAATTATAATATTAGGTCAAGATTTTATTTCAATCACCCTATTTTCCCTTTATTCCCCCTTTTTTTTTGTAAACTATAAGCTTTTAGATCGTTATGACTAACATAAAAGCCCAATAGGTTTATGATATATACTCTTTGCCTTAATGTCTAATTAACTAATTAACTATAAACTATGAGAGGTCTTTATACAGATTAGGGATGGTTGAATAGCAATAAAGCATCGTTTGGGAATTACATAAAAATCAGGTACTGACAACCTATATAAACCACATACCTTGGAAGTATACTAATTACACTGTATCCTTAAATCTTGATAACTTAAACTACGGATCTTTATATAATATATTATAAGGCATATCATATCACAAGTAACACTATTTAATTCTATTTAATATTATATTGTATACTTACACTTATTATTGACTATTTATTACTTACCTGATAATTCTGAATGTGTGTAAAAAAAAAAAATGAA